GGCGTAGACCGCGCGCGCAGCGCGCTCCGTGTTTGCCTTGAGGAGCGCAGCGACGAGTCCGTAAGGAGCGGCCCAGCTTGCTGGGTGCGGCGCCGCCGCGCGCCGTATCGAGAGACTCTGTCGGGGCAGGTTAAAATAGCGCCGCAGGCTCCCCGGGCCGTCCGCGCACAGACCACAAAACCCTTATGATCTATATTGCACCCGTTCCGGCGCTCGTGATCTGTATTGCACCCACTTCCGGCCGCTGATCTGCATTGCACCTATTTTGGCGCTCTGATCTCGAGAGGGCGACCTGGGAACGGGGGAGCCGCCGGCCGAGCGAGCTGAGACGGGCGTCGATCGACCGCCGAGGGACCGAGAATCGGGACCGAGGGGTTGGGGAGAGGAGTAGAGCTCTATATCCGGCGCGGGGGGGACGGACCGGCCTCCGATGCAGAGCGATAGAGAGAGAGATGTGCATGATTGTGCATGTGTGCATGCGCATGCAGAGGCCAGAGCGATGCAGAGCGTGATTTACTCAGTGATTGCAGACACACGAATTCACACGCGCGCGCCGCCTCCCGTTCGGCGCCTCCCACACGGCGATCGAGCTGGCGAGAGCACACCGGAACCAACCACCAGCCACCACCTTACAAAGTAACAAACAAAGCCGTCTCGCTCGAGAGCTCTCTCTCTCTCTCTCTCTCTCTCTCTCTCTCTCTCTCTCTCTCTCTCACCTCTCTCTCTCTCTCTCTCTCTCTCTCTCTCTCTCTCTCTCTCTCTCTCTCTCTCTCTCTCTCTCTCTCTCTCTCTCTGTCTCTCTCTCTCTCTCTCTCTCTCTCTCTCCTTCCTTGCTCTTTGTTTAGTTTTGTCTGTCGCCATGTGTGTGTGTGAGAGAGAGGAGAGATCTTTGAAAACCAACAAAGAAATCACGACCCTCACAGTGATTTGGTTGGGCTCGGATCCCTCCCTTGCGCCTTGCGTTGTCCGTTTTCTTTCTTTCTGGGCTCGGGCCTTTCGCGGGACGCGGCAGCTTGTCAGCCCTCACTCATCAGGCTCAGCCGAAGCTGGGGCCGGTCCCGTAGCCGAGAGAGCCCGCGCCAATGAATTCGACGCGGTCGAGGGGAGAGGCCTTGCTTGCTTGCTTGCGGAGAGGCCACAGCGAGCCGACTCTCTCTCTTCTCTTGTGTGTCTGTAGAGTGAGGTGAAGAACAGACAGACAGTCAGGCTCGGACTGGGCACCGGCGCTTTATGGGTGTCCATTCGATCACGCGTCCTTTTCATAAAAGTCTGCCACCTCACCGATTCGCCCTCTGCCCTCGCACGTCCCATATCAACGCTCGGTTTAGGGCGCTTTGTTGGCGCCCGCCGATTGCCCGTCGACAAGCCCGCCGCCCCATCAGCGATGCCAGCAATGCATGCGCCCTTCAACCCCATCGAGGTCCTGATGGAGGACGCACTCTGCACGTACATCGACCCGCTCGACGAGCTGAAGGCCTTCAACCGCCTTCTCTCGCCTGCTGTGGCTGTGCTGCTAAATGAGGTCAACGAGCCCATCGCGACCCACGAGCCTGGATCCAAGTTGCAGCGGGGGTTGGTGCTGAAGCTGCCACCGCAGCTCGCGCCCGCCCGGTTAATCGCCAAGCAGAATATTGCTAGCCCGTTGACGCCGGCGCGTCCGTCGCGCAAAAACAAGCCGCAGCGCTGCAGCAACTGCAAAGGAACGGGTCACAAGTCGCGCACGTGCAAATGGGGAAAGCCCGCCAGCGCTTCTATCGCTGCCACAGTGAACGTGGCAGCGGCACCGCCAGCATTGTTGGATAACAACGCTCTCGCGATGAACACGGCTGCTGCGGCTGCCAGGTGATGACGCAGCGAACACGGCACTTTCCTCTTGCGCTCTCGGGTGCGCTTTCGCCTTTCCCTTTCGCTCTCCACACTTGCTAACGGCTCAGCAAAACCTCCATGCCCTGTCCATACCGCCCCGATGTGTGTGCGTGCCGCTAGAACGCGCTCTTCACTTTGCTTCCCTTCTTTGCATGGCTATTTGGTACCGTTGACTGGGTACGGCCCGCCTGGCCCTGCCCGTGGGACACCACACGTCGCGCACACGTGACGGCAGACGGGCTGACGCGTCTGGAGAGAGAGCGAGAGTCGTGGACTGAGAGCTGAGACCGCGTGTGTTCTGTTTTTTTTGTGGGCGTTGTTTGACTAGTCTGGCCCCGCGCCACTGCTCCTTCTGCTGGGAAGCTAAGATGTTAACCCGGCCGCCACCGCCCAACATCAGTCATCACTGACTTGCGCGCCGTCCAAAACTCACTTAGACCCGCTGCTTTGCCCACTGCGGCGCGATGTTGGTGCGCTCGAGTACGGCGTCACGCGGCGTCGTCAGCCGCTCTGACCACCTTGGGAACTCGCGAGGCTCGTCGGGCGGCGGCGGCGGGACGCGCGGTAGCAGCGCGCCCGACCGCACGGCGACGCGCACGCGCCTCCCGTCGGGCAAGTAGCGCCATCGGAGTCGGGTGCGGCGACCGTCTACCGGGTCGATCAGGTTGCACTGCGAGTAGTGCACCGAGTCCTCCCGCAGCTCGTACTCGAGAGGCCTGCATTGGCGAGGCGTAAGTGCTTGTGATGGTGGTGCGCCAGGGCACGGTGCGGGCGGAGCGCGAGCAGCTCAGGCTGCGCACCGAGAAGGGTCCGGGTCGTTGGCCGACTCCTCCGTCGCAAACTCTCGCAGCTTGATTCCCTCGACCCACACGCGACTCCGCGCGTGGTCGACGCGCAGCACCTTCCCCTGCCCCATCTTGCGCTTCCCGTGATACACCGCAACCTCGTCGCGCGCAAAGATCCCCCACTTCCAGTCGGGCAGCGGCTGCTGCGGCTTGATTCCGCGTCGCGCCATCGCATCGCGCTTCGACCGCCGAGGGTGCGCCATTCGCTTCTGGCGCAGCTTGTTTGACTGCTTCTGGCTCCGCTGGCGGCTTGCGCCGGCGATGGGCGGCGCCGGCGTCACTGCGGGTGGTCGCAGGAGCATCGCCGGCTGCGCGACCGACGGGGCGGCAGTGCGGTGCCAGAAGGGCGTGGCCGAGAGCAGCGCGCGTGAAGGTTGCCGCGGGAGCCGCGCTGCTCGCAGGGACGTGAGGAGCCGAGTCAACATAGAGCTACACAACTGATCGGGGGCTGAAGAACAAAAGAGAGAAACGCAACCTGCAGGAAGTCCGCAATGCTCTGAGTGCCAAGCTGCAGAACATGTGCGAACCAGTGCCTATGACGCTTTGACGCTCAAGGAGTAGGCGCGGAGCGCCGCGCGCGGAGCGCGCCCCGAGGAAAATTTTAAAGAAAGAAAGAAAGAAAACAGACAACCCAAGGGAGGGATGGGAGGACGGCACGCCGCCACCACACAGGGATTTTAAGGAGAGGAGTGTGATGCGCTAGCCGTCGCCCACCCTAGGGAGTCTGCCTCTTCCTATCTCTTTTCGCAGTCTCTCGCCGATTCTCGCTGCAACCTTCATGCCACCTCGCGGCCGTCCCACTCTCGCCGTTCTCTCCCTTGTCACTTCCTCCTCTGTCGCGTCATTCTCTTCTGCCTCGTCCTGCGCCGCCGCCGCCTGCCGTTCCCTTGTTCTCTCGGCTTCTTTCGCCTTTCGGCGCAGCTCCGCCCTCCTTGCTGCATATCCTGGCCCCTCGAGTCTATCGAGCTCCCCTCGCGCAAGGACCATATTTCTGACTCCCACTCCGATCATTTGCCTCCAGGTCATGTTGTTGCTCAGGTCCACTCTCTCTTCGAACACTCGTGCCTCTACGGATGATGCCGGCGCTGGGGTCCCCTTCGGATGCATCGAGGAAAATTTTGAGGGTTGTGGAGGGCTAGATGCGATTTCTATTAAGAGTTTGACTCACACGCTGGAACCACTCGGCCCACCCACAGGCCCAATCTCGAGTGGCGGCGCTCCGCGCCTACCCATGCAGCGGCGCGCTCCGCGCGTGTTCTGCAGCGGCGCGCTCAGGGCATGGGCGGTGTGTGGGACCGCTGCGACCGCCAGGGCAACTGGGTCACTGCAACTGAGGAGGCTGTGATCGCGTGGAACGCGCCCCAGCCGTACCATCCCGTCGCCGTGCCCTTCATCAACCGTGCGCTCGAGAACTGGGGCGGGCTCAACTGGGAAGACCGCTTTCACCACAACGACAGGTCACGTGCACAGAGGGGCGGCATTGGAGCTTCGCTGCAGCGGGGTCTGGTCATGACGCGGAAGAAGGCAGAGACACAGCGTCTGCCAGCCGAGCCGTGCTACGACGTCAGGCCGAAGCCGCGTGGCCACAACTGACTGCAACAGACTGTCTTCATGTGTCTAGACTCTACCGCGGTGCGCTCCGCGCACATAGGTGCCAGCGCGCTCCGCGCGGTATCTAGCCAGCGCGCTCCGCGCGTGTGTGTCTAGCTAGCGCGCTCCGCGTGTGCGGTGTCCAGCTAGCGCGCTCCGCGCGTGTCCGGGTAGAGCACCGGCGCGCTCCGCGCGCATGAGAATCCAGTGCTTATGCTCATAAGCACTAAAAGCTCGTTTCTGCAGCTTGGTCTGAGTGTCGCGCGTTTTTCACCAACTAGACTTGGAAACAATGGAGCGGACAAGGGCGCTCCCGGCCGCGCGCGCACACAGACGCAGAAAATGACAGAGACCCCTCTGCTCCCGCCGATCTCTCACATGTCCGATGTCCGATTCGGAAAGCGGGCCGCCCTCCGGCATCGAGGCCACATCTACTAGCGTGACAACGACGCCAGACAGCCTCCGGGGCCTCAAAAGTAGGGGAAAGCCGTGTTGCCGAGGGCGGACTGCGTCACGACGGCCGAGAAGGCGAGCATCGCTGCGCGGCCGTGGACGAGCTCCGCCTCGTAGTACTTTGGCGCCTGGAGTGGGGGCGCGCGGTGGGTGGGTGGGTGGGGGGGTGGGTGGGGGGGGTTGGGGGGGGTAGGTTGAGGCGAGACGTGCGGTCGTGGCTGGGCGGGGGAGAGGGGGGGGGGAGGGGGGTGCGGTGAGCCGCAGCCGCCTCGGCGCGGGAGGATGTCCTGTTGCGTGGTGGCCGCCGCGGGGATGGCGCGGCCGACGACGGCGATGCGTCAAGGCTCGCGCATCCGGGGAATCTAACCGGGAGGGGGCATCTCTAGGCTGGCGCGCCTCGGGCGACTTGAGCAGCCGCAGCGGGTCAAAGCCAAAGTCGCCTGGCTTGCGCTCCGACTGGTCGATGGACATGTCGTAGATCTGCGAGGCGCCGATCGTCTCGAAGGTGCCCACCCAGAGGAGCAGCAGGAAGAGCTCCTGCGAACCGCGGGGGCAACGCCGTGAGTCCGGGGCTGGGGCGGAGTCGACCGAGTGGAGAGGGGAGGGGGGGGGGGGGTGGGGGGCTTGGAATCGAATGGCGGGTGCTCGAGAGAGCGTCGGGTGGGTGGCCGGGGGGGGGGGGGGGGGGCCTTCAGGGCGAAAAGCCCGGCCAGGGCGGTATAGCGCGACCAGGGCGACATGTCCCTCCAGCTGGGTGGCGGAGCTCTCCGGGAGGCGATGTTTGCTGGGGAGGGGCGGGGAGCGCCTTCTTAGCGACGACGTCGTGCGCGTTGAAGGAGTTGAGCTCGGCGTACCGCGCGCCCGGGAACCTCAACCCGAGGTCGACCGCCACGTAGCCCTGGGGCGCAGGGCGGAGGGCGGTTGCGAGCCGGTGGGCTGAGTCTCGCGGCCAAGAGAGCGGTGACACACACGCACCGTCCACGCAAGCATGCTCATGCGGCCGTGCTTCAGCTCGGCCTCGCGCATCCACTTGATGTTGTTGGGCGAGGAGAGGCCGAGCGGGTCAAAGTCGACATTGCCCACCATGCCCTGGAGGTGCTGCGGGGAGGCGGGCGGCGGGCGCGGGCGCGAAGCGGCTCAGCAAGAGAGCGACTCGGCGCGAACCGCGCGTCGTGCGCGTGCACGGCAGGGCCGCAGGCAGAGCGCGCACCTCCGGCGCCTCCATCATGGGCATCGACTTGCTCTGCACCATCTGCGGTGCGGCGACGCGAGACGAGGAGACCGCCGAGCGCGGCGCGAGGCCGCTCAGCGAGAGCGGGGACAGGGCGAGGGAGAGCATGGCCTAGGCGATCGGCAGGAGTGGAAGGAGTGAGCGACGACTCCGGAGAGCTCCCGCCGAGAGCGGAGCGGGGGCGCTGGGATTCCACCACCGATTGGCGAGGTTGGCTATTTAGCCGACAAATAAAAGACGCTGGTCTGTGCTACCATCCCTCCCTTGGGTTGTCTGTTTTCTTTCTTTACCGACTGGTGCAAATCCCTATGGGTGGTGGCGGCGTGCCGTCCTCCCATCCCTCTTTTGCCTTCTACGTTTTCTTTGTTTCTTTAGAGGTCGAGCGTGTGTGCGTGTCGTCGTCATCTGAGAGAGAGAGATTTTTAGCAATACCAAACAACTCTAACACTCACACGTAATTTGGGGCCTGGAGCCCTGTTCACGCGCGCGCGAGACGTGCAGACAGGGTTGCCAGGTGAGAGCGAATGGCGCGGTTCACGCCTCGCACAACAGAGAGAGAGATGCGCTCTGCATGGTGGGACATAAAAGAGAGCGAGTACTTGGGCGAGTAGGCCGTGCGGTCAACGCTGCCGCGCGCGACTTTGCGCGCGAGGCGGCGCAGCTTGAGAACGGCGGTGGGCGAGAAGCCGCCGCCGAACGTCTCGTGGAGCAGCAGGTTGAAGTTGTTGCGCTTGACAAAGATCGCGTCGTGGTAGAAACCGCGATGCGCCTTGACGTAGCCGTGGCCGGTCTTGTGGTCGAAGGGTTGGCCGGGCTGCCCGCGCGCCTTGCAGCCCATGTTTAGGCGGCGGGCCTTTTCTTCGGTGTTGCCGAAGGCGTAGGAGTGGCCAACGGAGGCGGGCGTGCCGCCACTCGAGGCGTTGCCAACGCCCGGCGAGGAGGTCTTGAGGAGGGGCGTCCAGAGCTTGATTTCATTCACGTCATCGCATCCTCCCGGTCCCGCATGGGGTTCCGCGAGGTCGACCTTGTACCCCTCGTTGTACTGCCAGGTGAGCTCTGGTTTCTCCTTGTCGCCGTGCACGACCGGCGCGTTGGCCGGGGCGCGCATCGCGTCCGCCCAGGCGGCGAGGACGCCGTCGTGGGGCCGCCGGTGGTGGGCCTTGTTGTAAAGGTAAAGGTTTGTTGTCATCTGTCTCTCGTCCACCCATACCGCGTTGGCCGTTGGTGTCCAGTCCGAGCCTGACTGACTGTTCTTCACCTTCCTACATACATACGGACTTGTATTGTTAGAATTCTCCCCCAGCGAAGACGGAAGAGTAGAAGTACCCGCCAGTGCTCGATCACGATCGGCTACCACCGCCATCACCGCCGACGTCTCCCAGTGAGATGATGGAGAGGGGGGACGACACTGCTTCAGCAGCGTGCACCTCGATCCTGTACCGTGTTTGTTATGACCCCCCCAAATGAACACACCAGTGAGGGAGGGCGAGACGGTCGAGGGGTCCCGTACGCCGTACCATGCGGAAAATCTGACGGTTCTCGCTCCTTAGCGCTTCTAGGGGGGGCCCTAGCGCCTAGGCTTAAAAGGTGGGCCCTGGGGCGCCTGCGGCTTAAACGGCTAAAACCTGCCTAGGCAGGTTTTATGTATGAGCTGCTGGGCCGCCGATTCCTTCTCCCGAGGTCGATGGTCCGGGAGGCTCCCCGGTAGACGCCGGAGGCCGGGAAGCTGGCTACAGTCACCGAGTCAGCTTCTAGCACGCGCCCCCTATGCGAGTATGGCTCCTGCCAGTGCACCAGACTTACATATGTGTCTTCAGTGGCGGGTTTGTGCCTAATAACGGCAGTATTGCAGAAAGCGGCGCGGAACCCAGCGACACGCATGCTGGTGAGGCCGATTTTCTTAAACGGTCTTAAAAGAGGGGGCCCCCGTGCCTGCAATCTCTTAAATGGCAATTTAAGCCCCCAAACCTCCCCATTTTTCTTAAAAGCTCTTAAAAAATCCGGTCCTGTCACGCCTCAGAACCCTAGTGGGTCCCCTAACGCTAAAAGAGTGCGGAAACGACCCTAGCTTTAATATATAAGTTATAAGCTATGTCCAGTTCGCAGTTGCTCAAGTGCGAAAAGTGGAAGTCTAGTGGAAGTGCTCAAAGCGCACCCCGCGCCACTCTGCGGGGAGAGTCTCTCCTGCACGCGATCTTTTCACACTTTTGCAGCCTTGACTGTGCTCGATGAGGATAGCCGCCGTAGGCCCAGCCCGTTGATCGCCGTGGACCACATCCGGCGGTCAAGGCTGAAGGCAACTTTATCTAGAGCCTGCTCTAGAAACCATCGAATAAACGTTGCAATTGGAGAATACTGTGGAGTGTGTACGGTGCGGATCGAACACCAACGACTAAAACTCTAAAACAAAAGACAAAACGCGCCCCGGCACCGGAAACACGTCACGAGAATGGAGAAAAGGATGCAAGGACACCCCGGGCCCGCGGCGACGGGGGCGAGCTGTGCAGAGCCCAACAGGACGAGGGCCTCGAGCGCTGCCGCCATCACTTGCCGAGGTCGAGGTGGGTGTTGGTGATTTTCCTCGAGCCCACGCGCTCGCGCTTTGGCTTGGCCGCGCGCTTCGCCTCCTCGCGTGCCTTGAAAGGGAGGGAAGGGAAAGCAGGAGAGCAAGTGGAGGGGAGGGGAGGGGAGAAATCTCTCGGAGAGTCCCTCCCTCGCGCACACCTTGATCGCCGCCGCCTTGCGCGCGCGGCGCACCTAAGGGGAGGGAGAGAGAGAAAACGTCCCTCCGCGCTCGGGAGTCCGTCAAGGGCGATCCTCCATGCCCCAAAGCAGGCAGGAGCCGCGCGGCATCCACGGTGCAAAGTGCGGTGGAGAGCGAGCGAGAGAGCGAGAGAGCGAGAGAGCGAGCGAGAGAGCGAGCGAGCGAGCGAGCGAGCGCGTGTGCGTGCGCCTCGAGCTCCTCCTTCGAGAGTAGCTTCCTCTGCACGAGCGCCGCCTGCAGGTCGTCCCCTCGCGGCACCTGCTCGCAGCTCGAGGCGTGAAGAGAACGCCGCCCGCGCCCCGGTGGTGCCGGTGCCGGTCCAGGCCGCCGCCGCACCTCGACCGCCGCCCACGCCGCGCGCAGTCCCGCGGGCGCTTGCTTGGCGGCGGTTGGCGCGAAGAGCACGCGGTCGCGCGTGTCAGGCCTCTCGATCGCCACCGCCCTTCAGGAGGGGGGGGGAGGGGGCGGGGGGGGGGGAGGTTGAGGCGGCGTGGACAGACACAGCCATGACGACCAGAGGGCCACTGGCCGAGGCGGCGCGGGGGAGGGGATTGTCGGGGCGCGTTGGTAGAGCACGGCATCCGGCATGTAGTTTCCGGGCGCGTCCTGTGTCGAGCACCGCGCGAGCATCTGGGAGGCGTCTAGTGTCTCGGTCCGCCTCCCCTCTCTGATGAGTTTCTCGATGTCGGCCTGTTCACAGCTGCTCGCTGTGACGTGACGCTCTCCCCGGCTCGCGTGTGCAGGCAGCCCCAGTGCCGACCTCGACGCCCTCGTAGCACGCCTGCGGCTGCTCCTTGGTCGCCACAAGCTCGGAGCGAGGCACCCCCGACACCACCGCGCGCGAGAGCAGCGCCGCTAGCATCGCGGCGTCGCGCACGCCGTGCTTTGGCCGGTAGCGCAGCCGCAGCACGCCCGCCGCAGGCACCACCTAGGGCGAGGCGGAGAGCGGTCGAGGGGAGGAGCGGCGGACGGCAGGGGCGGCGCGGGCAGCCAAGGCGGCGTCTCGAGGCGGCGTCTCGCGCTGCTCTCCGGCCGTCGAGCCGTCTTCGGGGTGGATCTTCCGCTCTCTCGGAAGAGGCTCGGCCTCTCGGGGCCAGCTTGAAGGGTCTCGAGCTTCAAGGGTCTCGCGCCTCGACGTGCTCGCTCTCGGTGAGCGCGTCGTGCAGCTGGGGGTTCGCGCCCGGGTCGATGTTGATGCCGACCGCCTCGCGGATCTGCTCCACGCTCGCCTCGGCATGCCTCTCCCGCCCCTGCAAGAAGGACTGGACGAGGTACAGCGCCTGGGGAGCGGAGAGGGCGAGGCCTGTGAGAGAGAGGAGGCGCGTCTTGGGTCTCCGACAGGTGGAGAGCGGGCTGAAGGGCCAGATGGATGCGCGCAGCGGCGAACGAGTCGCGTGTGCAGATGGAGGCGCGTGGGCGTATGTGTGAGTGTGAGGGGTGCGTGAGTGGGCGCCTTGCCCATAGGCAGCGTGCCGCCGTCGTCCTTACGCACGCGCACGGCGGCCGCCACACTCGCCCGCTCTGTTTGCGCTAGCGCCTTGCGACGCGCCGCCGCCTTGTCCTTGGTCGCCTGCAGTGTTTTTGTGTACGCTGGAGCACGCTCTGCAGGTGCCGCCGTCCGTGCGGCCTTTGCGCGCAGCTTCTCCGCATGGCGTTCCTCCGCCTCACGGACTTTGCTGTACGCCGCCTTTAGCGGATTCTTGCTGCTGCTCATGGCGCTGAAATGTCGCCGCAGAAGGCGGGGCCAAGGCGTGTCGTCCGCCTCGCTGGGGCTCAGGAAAAGAATTCATTCGCCGCTCTCCCATTTTTTGGTTTCGACGACACCCATGGGCGATCTGCTTGACCACACCTCGCTGGGGAACATGGCAACATCAGATCATATTACTCTTACTATTCCGGCTACTATTTAATGGGGCAGGCCACGGCCCACGGGGCCCGGGGCCGGCCAGGTTTTTCTGCACAATTTCATAGGAGGGCCGTCGAGCCCCTCTTCCGGGAAAACGGCAAACTCGAGGAAGCCACAAAAAGAAGCCCTTCTGCGTTGTTGTGGGAACGGCACATGCCATCCATTCCAAAAAAAAAGTTCTTCCCAAAGCACAGCTCACCTGCAAGCTGCAACTAGATGGACACCTGCTCTCCTCCGAGTGCTTTTCATGGCGTCCGAGCAAGAGCGACGGGCACATCAAACGCAACGTGGACTGCACCGCCGGCTTCTCAGTGGGCGCCTCAGCGGCCCCACCCCCGCCGCCGCACGTACCGTCCGCCGCACGTACCGTCCGCCGCACATCAGATCATAGGCGCCACAATCGCCGGGCGCTCCTCCTCTGCCGCCCCGCCCCGCCCCCGTCCCCGCATCGTGAAGACGCGGGCCGCGAGGGCGACGGCGAAGACGACGATGGTGACCGTCCAGACGGGCAGCGAGGGAGGGGTCAGCAGCTCGGTGTCGCGAGGGTCGTCGCCAGACGCACCCTTGTCTTGCGAGGCGAATCCGGGTGCCGCCTGGGAGAGGGCGGCAGGCTCGGCGGCGAGGGAAGCTGCCGACAGGTCCGCGACGACGCACGAGTGCCAGTAGGGGTCGATGCCGTGGTCGGGGCAGCCTGCCCGGGGGCGGTTGGGGGGGGGGGGGGGGGAGGTTCTGCGTGGACGAATCTCTCGGCCAATCTCGGCCAATCTCGGCTCGTTCTCGCCCGGCTCGTGGGCGAGCTCATCGATCTGTTTGCAGCAAGCCCCGAGCGCGCCGCAGAAGCCGGGGCAGTGTCCGCCCCTCTCGCCGCATGCCTCCCAGCAATCCTCGCCCACGTTGGCCACCGGCGGCATGGCCGAGGTGGCGACGAGCACGTTGAGATGGGCGGGCTTATGGGTGTGGCCGATGATGCCTACCACTTCAACTCATTTCGCCATCAGTGGACTGCCGTGTGTGTGGTGGGGGCTGGAGGTGGCCGACGGCTTGCCGGAGAGGAGGGGCAGCTGGTACTGCCCGTCCTGGAGGGTCTTTTGGCCCATCATGTTTGCGCCCAGAAAGTCGTTGACGAAGTAGAGCGAGTCCTCGTCGTAGAGCTCCAGCAGCAGCCCCTGCGGGCGAAGCAACGCCCGGGCTTCTCAGAGGCTCCTCCCGCGGGCGCCGTCACGGAACGGTCCCGTGCAGACCGCTCGGCGACTCTCGACTGACTCTCGAGCCTCTCACCCGGCCGCGGAAGGCGGTGACGTCGCAGCAAAAGGACCAGTTCGGCTCGAGAGAGTTGGAGACCTGCGGTGTAACATGGGGAGTGATTGAGTGTGCAGGGATATCTGAGACGGGGGGCGACGGTCGCGTGGTGTGTGCTCAGAGCATGGGGAGAGAGCAGTGGAGATCGGCTCTGGAATGCAGCCGAGTACAAGCCCTGTCGAGAGTGCGAGTGGGACGACGAGGAGCTTGCCCCGCATCTAGCTTGGAGACGGTGCCAGTCGCGCACTCATACTCGGGCTCCGCGCCTAAGAGAGAGGAAGGGAAGACGCTCGAGGAACGTCATGCCCTCGCCTCTCTCGGGTTAGAGAGGAGACGCGGGGTGCAGACACACAGTCCTTCGGAGTTTTTTACTCGCGTGCCTCGAATCACGTGCGGGTGTGTCGGCGCGGCGCATCTACGGCTCGCGCGCCGGGCCGTGCGTTGTGCTCCTCGTCGATGACGTCCTCGTTGGAGGGGTCGGAGCGGATCTGCCCCGCCGACACCTCGTGGAGCACGCACGCGGGGTGAGGGGAACAGTGAGGCCCCAGAGGGCCAACGCGACCCGGGGGGGGGGGGGGGGGCGTGGCAAGGGGGTGTGCAAGGGAGCCTTGTTGATGACCTCGGCTTGAAACTGGTAAACCCGGCGGTAAAGCTCGTCCTTGGCGGACTGGTCCCCCCTCTCCATGATGTCGACGATCTCCTGCTTGCCCATGCCCATCATCGCCGTCTCGTCGGTCAACGAAGAGATCTTGACCCACGAGTCCGGGTACCTGGCATGCCATCCCGCCAAGGGCCCGGCTAGGCTGCGTGTTTCTGCTACGGGTGAGGATGAGGCGGATATGCGGATGTGGACACTGTGCATGTGCATGTTGTGTGCTTGTAGCATGTGCGAGTGCAGCTCTCTAGCAGACAGAGCTGCGGTCGGCGACACTCGACGGCGGAGGAGATGGAGTCGCGGCGACGGTGGAGGGCAGGCGGCAACGGCGGCGGTGGGGAGGGTGGTGGTGGAGGGGGGGGGGGGGGGGGTCGGGCGATGGCGGCGGCGACGGGGAGCGTGGCGAGGCGGAGTTTGAATTGCGGGAGGGGCGACTCTCGGCGCGGACCGGGACTTGCCCACGCGCGGGTAAAAGTCCGTCTCGACGAGCCCGGAGGCCGACATGATGCAGAGAAACTTGCGCTCCTCGCCCTCGCCCCCCTTGGCGCTGTCGAGGAGCAGCTTGCTCGACACGTCGTACTTGAGCTGCTTTGCGCGGTCGTCCGCCGGAGGAGGAGGGGGCGGCGGGGCGAGCGGGATCTCGATGAGAAGAGTCCCCTCCTGCGGCTCAAACTCCCCGCCGGCGAGGGGAAGCTCGTACACGCCCGCCGTCGCGTTGGCGGGCAGTACGGCGGTGCCGAGCCAGTCGCCCTCCTCGCTGGAGTAGTCGCCGTCGAAGACGCTGAAGACGTACTCCGAGTGGCTGTGCGAGCCGTGCACGAAGCAGCAGCGGTCCCAAAGCGGGGAGGCGTTGTTCTCGTGCTGCTCCGTCTTGCACACGAGCGCGCCGCCCAGTTCAAACTGTAGTTCCCGGGGGCTTGCGGATTGGATGAGGGACTCTCAACGGCTGCTTGTAGCGCGTGGGGGCACACCTTGACCCACGACTCCGGTGCGGGCTTGCGCGGCCAGCTATCGACGTTTTTCATTGCGAGGTTCGCTGCGCTCTTGATGCAAACCTGCTTCTCGCAGAAGCCGCCGCACGGGGACGGCGCTGCACTGGGCAGGACGAACGCGGAGAGCATTTTGTTGAGTGCGACGACTCTCACGAAGCGCCAAAGAGAAGCGCCTTGGATTTTTTGAAAAGAAAACACCGCGGGGTTGCTCATGCTGAAATTCTGCAAAAACCCGGCCGGCCCCTGCCCTGCCCCTACCTACCTACCTACCTTCCTACCCTCTTATGGGAAACCAAATAAGTGCTTTAAAGGGTTGCCCGGCCGGCCTTGCTGCGCAAATCTCGCGCTGCGCTAGGCTCAGAGCGAGTTCGCGCTGCGCTAGGCTCAGACGGCGTGCGCGGGCCGCCGGGGTGAGGACCTCACCTCCTTCGGGCTCGGCAGCTTGTCGGGCCGTCTACCTCAGCCCTCAGCCGAAGCTGGGGCCGGTCCCGTACGTAGGCCGTCCGTAGCCGAGAGAGCCCCCGCGTCCCGATGAATTCGACGGGCGCGGGGTCGGCCGTCGGGGTTCGATTTTAGCAATATACCAAACAACTCTAACACTCACACGTCATTTGGGGCCTGGAGCCCTGTTCACGCGCGCGCGAGACGTGCAGACAGGGTTGCCAGGTGAGAGCGAATGGCGCGGTTCACGCCTCGCTCTGTGTTGTCCGTCGGGGCGGGCGAGAGGGAGAGCGCAGCACGATTCCGCCCAGAGGCACCCCGCACACGCCACACCTTTGTTTGGCTTTGCGCAAAGGCTTTGCTTTGCCGCAAAGGTCCGGTTTGATAGCGGATTTTGATTAGTAGAACGGTCCCCACTGTCGCTGGTGCGCTGGTCCTTGTTCTTTGATGAGGCTATAAGAACGCTAGGATTGAGAGCAGCCTCGCTCTCAATCCTAGAAGTCGAAGGATTGTGAGCAGCACTCCTCGCAATCGTAGCATCTCGCTGTGCGGATTGCTAGCACCTACGCTCGCAATCCTACATCTTCTAGGACTAGCAGCTCCGCGCTCCCATCGTGACTGGTGACGCCTACGACTACTACCAGCGCGCTCGCGCTCGCAATCCGAGCAAAGTCTAGGATTGCGAGCAGCTCTGCTCACAATCCGAGCAACATGCCTCCGATTGCGAGCAGTAGCGCTCGCAATCCTTACTTACCTACATCTTGTAGGACTATGAGCGGCGGCGCTCACAATCGTACCAAAGATCCAAACATCTGCGCTCACAATCCTAGCTACATGCACCGATTGCGAGGGAAAGAAAGAAAGAAAACCTTGTCCCGATTTTTCTTTTCTTGGCCCTCACCGCTGGAAGTGGCGAATCGATTGGCGAATCGATGCGAGCGCGCCGCGTGCTCCTCCGCGCGACGCTGTTGCCGCTAGAGTACGGTTAAAGAGCTCTATGCTCGCCATCTCGGCCTTCGCCTACTCGCCAGCTGCGACCGTGGACGTCGACGTGTTTGGCGAGGCGGCCTGCCCCGACACCCGCGATTTTGTGCTCGGCCCGCTCGCAAGATTGGCCGATGCGCTCGGCACCACAGCCAGCGTGAGGTACACCTCGTTCGGCAACGCGTACTTCTTCGCGCCATGCGCTGGTGCCGTGGTGGCTCCGCCTGGCTGTGACTCGTCCGCGTCCTGCCGATTCAACGCGACGACGCGCGACTGCTGGTTCTCCACGTGCGGGTTGGGCGCCGCACGGCCGCCCGACGCCTGCTTCAAGGGCTCACCACGCTGCCAGCACGGCGCAGCTGAGTGCCTCGCCAACCGCGTCACGCTGTGCGCCGGGACTTCCCTCCCGTTCGTCTCGTGCTACTTTCGGGCGCTCGGCAGCGAGTGGGCGGCCGGCTCGCCGAGTACCGCTGTGCTCGCCGTCGGCAGGCGGTGCGCCGTCGCTCTGGGCGTCCGCTGGGACGAGGTATCGGCATGCATCGACGGAGCGCGCGGAGGCGAGCTGGTCGAGCGCGCCGCACGCCGCACGCCTCCCCACCCCGGAGTGCCGTATGCCCTGGTCGGCGGCCGGCCAGCGAGCACCACGAACGCGACTCTCCTCTTGCAAGCAGCGTGCCGGGCGCTGCCGCGACCGCGCCCCGCAGCGTGTGCAGCGGAGAGCCCGCAGCCCGGGTCAGCAGCGGCGCTTTCACCGGAGCCCGGGTCAGCAGCGGCGCCAGCGGCGCAGCATGGGTCGGAGGCAGCGCCAGCGACGCAGCCCCGCGCGCCAGCTAGATGCGCCTTTGCCTCGGTGGGTGCGGGCTGGGCTGGGATCTACTCGGCCTGGCGCGTCGCCGTCGACGCAAAGGCCAGGGACCCGACCACGGTGTGCGTGTTTGAGGGCTCGCCGCGCTTCGGCGGCAGGACGTTCACGGTGCGCGGCGACGCGGCGCTGTTCGGGCTCAACATCGACATCGGTGCGTACCGCTTTGCATTCGAGCAGCACTTGCCCGCCGACCTCCTCCGCGGCCCGCTCCGACTGCCGACGGCCTGCTACATCCCCTCGTGCGAGCGCGAGCCGCTCGACGGCAACCTCACCCTCCACAAGCTGATGGACCCGCGCCTGAACAGCTCCGCCGGATACGGCACCGCGCTTGACGTGATGGTGGCGGAGCTGAGGGCCGCGGGGGCGCATCTGCAGCTCCACAAGGAGCTCGACGCCGTCCACGCCCACCCTCGACCCACGGGCGCGGTGCTGAGGTGGAAGGACGGCGGCAGCACCGTCGCGGACAGCGTGCTGCTCAACCTCCCCCGCCACGCGCTGAACCGCCTCTCGCGCGACTCGCTCCTCTTCACCGACGGACGCCCCCTCGCTCGCGCGCTTTACAACTGCAGCCGCGAGACGTCGCAAGCGAACTACTCGGCCGAGGCGTCCGTCAAGGTGTACCTCGTGTACGAGGACGCGTGGTGGCGCACCCGCCTCGGCCTCGTGCAGGGAGAGGTGCACGCGCCGTCGGACCCGCCAATGTACATCCGGTATCACGACGGGCCTGTCCGCTGCGGAGAGGGTGCCGCCCCCGCGTGTGCGGGTGCGTTGCTGGTGCAGTACGCGCACTCTCTCGAGGCAGGCGGCGGCTTCTACATGCCGTTCCGTGCGAGCAAGTCGACGCCTCTCACGGTGCTGCGCGGCGAGGCGTCCGAGCTGCCCGGGCTGCTGCACCGCAAGCTGCTGCAGATGCACGCTGCACGGCTCGCCGACGCCGGTATCGACCCTCGCTCCCTCGCCGAGCCGGCGGCGGTGGTGCTCGGCTTCTGGCCGCACGCGCGCGACGAGATCCTCCACCCCGCTCCCGACCCGCTCTCCTTCTCCACCGCCCATGGCGCGCTGCCCCAATGCCTGCACGGCGTCACCTCCGCCTCCTACTCGGAGGCGACGCGCCAGCCCGTCGTTGGCCGCTCCCTCTCGGTCGCCAACAATGACTGGTGGCTCGAAGAGAGCTCGGTCGATCTCATCGCGCCGTACTGGGCAGAGGTCAGCTTGCGCGTAGCCGAGCGCGTCCTCCACGACCAGCTTGGCCTGGCTAGGCCGGCGTGGCTAAACGCGGCGTACTATCGCAAGAGTGTGCTCGGGATTTGATGCACAGGGAATATTAAAACCTCGCGCACATGCAGTGATACAGGCATCGCAGTGTATGAGATGGGGGAGAGATGCACGTAGCGAGACCTTCTGCTTCTCGCATTCTCGACATCGTGTTCGTGAGATCGACTTTTTTATTTGTGTAGCGAGTACGGTCATGTTCTGTACGTGTGACGGTGTGTGGCTTGAGAGAGACTACACAAACAAAAACACACACAAAATGTTTGGGTCTCACTGACACAGCGATCGCAGGGTGTCTGCCAACCTCAGCCTCGCACACTCACTGTCACAACAGAAAATAACCGGGACTTCTCCCTGGGAGCTTGCATGGGCCTGACGCCATCCCTCTTCGTCCCTAGATCGCGCGGCTCCCTAGGGACCACACGCGACGGCCATGCTAGCCGATGGCGCACAAGCGGGGGCTGACCACGCGCCGGCCGTCGCCTCCCTCCCCTCCCTCGGCCAGCGGGGCAATCTTATCGAGCTGCAGCAGCAGCTCGTGGTAGGCGGCGGCGCGCGTCGCCTCGTCGTACACGGCGGCGGCGTGGAGGAAGGCGCGGAGCGTGTGCACGAACGCCTCGACCTGGAATGCGGACGGCGCCGCTCCGCCTGCGTGCAAGTTGGGGGGCCGGGGGTGGACGCGCGAGGGTGGCGGACACACACACTCCTCTTCCGGGGCACACGCCCTCGTGGTCGCCGCGCGGCGCGGTGCGGTAGGCCGAGTACGGGTACCCGGCCGAAGCGCAGTACGAGGTCCACCGGAGCCGCAGCTCCGACAGAGACTCGCGCACGCCCTCGTCGACAAGGCCGCCGCCGCCGCCGTAGCAGCCGCCGTAGCCATCGCCGTAGCCGCCGCCGTAGCCGCCGCCGTAGCCGCCGCCGTGGCTCGGCGCGGCCTTGGAGGCGACGGCCACTGCCGCCTGGAGCTTCTCGAGCGCGAACGTCTCGAACTCGGCGAGCATCGCCACGCGCACGGCCGCGGCGGAGGCGGGCGGCAGCGGCGAGGAGGCCTCGCCCGCGCCCTTGCTCAGACTGGACGCCTGGCGCGAGAGCAAGCCGGGAGAGAAGCGGCTGCTGCGCGCCCTCGTCAGCGCCCGCTTCGCCACAGCCTGCTTGGCCGCCTCCGCGCGCTTTGCCGCCAGCCTCCACGAGAGACGCGTCTACTCGCAAACCGCCTCCTCTTGTGGCGACCCCGCCGCGCCGCGCGAGGCTGGGCAGTGGGGCCGGGTCGCGGTGCCGCACGCCTGCAGGGCGAGCACAACTACGACCAGCAAGCAAGCCGCGAGAGCGAGGCGGTTGAACATGGGCGTCTCCTCCACCCAGCAGGCGCCCGTGAAGTCGTCGTCGCAGTGCACAAACTTGACCTTGACCACGCGCGACGCGAGCATCAGGAAGTTGTAGAAGTTAAGGACCGGGAGAAAGTAGAGCACGAACAGGAAGGCGCCAAACGTCGAGTGCCAGATGGCCACCTCGCCCCCTTCCGAGGAGGTTCTGAGCAGGCTGAAGAATAGAACTGTGCCGAGCATCTCAACGAACATCGTCACCCAGATGACGATCATTGTGTTTCTGCGCAGGGGGCGGGCGGGCGAGGCGGTGGAGGCAAGGGACGGACCGGACCAGCGGGTGGTGAGGCAGAGAGGGGGGGGGGGGGGGAAAAAAAAAAAAAAAGGGGTGGTGGCGGTGGTGGTGGTGGCGGAGATAGCAGCAGCAGCGAGGAGCACCTGCCCAGTTCCTGGTCGGTTATCACCTCCTTGGCCAGCACCAGGTCCTCAAAGAAGAGACCCTCGGCACGCGCGGAGCACTGGTCGAGCCCGTCCCGCACCAGCGGCGAGTCGGGCGCGCGGGTTCCCCATGATGCGTAGCCATCCCAGCAGCCCGTGTCGGGGTTGCAAGTGCGGAGGCCGTGTGTGGGGCCGCCGTCCGTCTCGATGAGCCCGAGCGGCTCGTACTTTTCGCAGAGCGTCGAGTTGCGTCCCAGAAAGGTCCTGAGCTCCCAGCGAGCGTACGCGCGGATCTCCTCGGACGAAACGGTGGTGGCAAGCCCCACTGCGAAACCAGCGAGGAGGGCTGCGATGGTCATGAACATGGTCAGCTGTTCGCGCAGCCCTTCGGCGGAGGGGCCGTGCGTGGGATTCTCGTCGTCGTCGTCGTCGTCGTCGTCGTCGTCGGCCAGCATATTCATGGCAAGTCCGGCAGTGTGCATATGTAGGCCAACTCAGGGTGTGTGGCAGCCAGCTGGCCCGTGCGCGCTTCCTTTGGCGAAAATGCGCGAAAATAACCTTTCGGCCCTCAGCCCGCAGCCTCCAGCCCGCAGATGACTCCGAGGAGGACGAACCAGTGGAAATCCAGTTGTCAGATGTCACGATGCATCCGAAGGGGACCCCAGCGCCGGCATCATCCGTAGAGGCACGAGTGTTCGAAGAGAGAGTGGACCTGAGCAACAACATGACCTGTAGGCAAATGATCGGAGTGGGAGTCAGAAACGTGGTCCTTGCGCGAGGGGAGCTCGATAGACTCGAGGGGCCAGGATACGCCGCGAGGAGGACGGAGTTGCGCCGAAAGGCGAAAGAAGCCGCGAGAACAAGGGACCGGCAGGCGGCGGCGTCACAGGACGAGGCAGAAGGGAACGACGCGACAGAGGAGGAAATGACAAGGGAGAGAACGACGAGAGTGGGACGACCGCGAGGTGGCATGAAGGTTGCAGCGAGAATCGGAGAGAGACTGCGAAGAGAGATAGGAAGAGGCGGACGCCCAAGCAAGGGTGGGCGACGGCTAGCGCACCACACACCTCTCCTTAAAATCCCTGTGTGGTGGCGGCGTGCCGTCCTCCCATCCCTCCCTTGGGTTGTCTGTTTTCTTTCTTTCTTTTTTCCAGCCCGCAGAGCGGCAGAGGCTCGAGCCTCTGGCCCAGCGAGCCAGACGGTTACTGCCAGAGTGCAGAGACGGCGTGGGGCAGATTATCTAACGCGATAACGCGACTACACTTTGCCTCTTTGCCGCGCAACTTGCGCCCCTTTTAGCTTTTTGGAAACTTCTAATTTATTTCTTTAGACTCTCTTTATTTTTCCAACCCTTCCTCTATATCAGTGTCTCGTTTGAATATAGCAAGGCTAGGGTTTAGAATTAGAACCAGATACCTAGATATCTGGGTATCTGCCAGATATCTGAAGGCTCAGAGCCACTTCTGTTTCTACTAGTAAAAGAGCGCGTCACACCCAGATACCAAGCAGATACGACCGTCCAGACACACCAAGACACACACCCACACGCTCCGACAGCGCGGCACGGCGGACAGCGGCCGCGACACACCGCGGGCGCGGCAGGGCGCGAGGGCCGGAGGGTCGAGGCGCGCTCCCGCGGTGCCTCTCACCCGCGCTGCCGCTCAAGCCGCGCACCAGTCGACTCCCTACTCGGTGTTGAACGCCGCGAAGAGTGAGTGCTCGAGCGTGGTGTCCTTGGCCGACGGCTTCTGGAGGTCGCCGTGCATCTTGCCCGCGGCCGAGAAGACGCGCTCGACGCCCGCGGAGGAGGCCGGTGCGGCGAAGTACTGCTTGACCATCTTGGCAAGCGCCGGCCACTTTGTCTCCTTGGCCTTCCACCACGCGAGCACGTCGAGCTCGACTCCTCGGACTCCGCGAGGTACTGCTCGAGCTCATCGAGCACCGGGGTCGAATCGGCGGGCGCGACCTCCTTCTTGATGCCGGTAAAGTTGAGCTGTGTGAATGCTGCGTGAAGAATATTTTTCGGGCCCTTTACCACCCGGAATATTTCTTCTTCACCACCCGCAAAAATCCGGCCGGTCGGCCCACAACTCTCAACGGGACAACGCGGCAGGTGAGCGCGCGAGGTGACCCCAGATACCAACCAGATCTCTGCCCAGATTTCTGCTTGTAAAAAATCGCGGAAAAGAGCAACCAGATATCTATCTGGCACCGTTTTTGCACTATCTGCAGACCTAGATACCGGTAAACCCTAGCCTTGGAATATATAGAACAGATATGACTCTCGGTCTCGCTCAGAGTCAGACACGCCAGAGCAGGGGCGAGAGGGGAGGTATCAGTGTCGTTTCGGAATACAGAACATGACTCTCTCTCGCTCACACAGTCAACGAACCTGCGGTGTGGCGTGTGGGCACAGAGTGAGAAGATCCCACACGTGCTGTGGCATGGGGTGTACGTGTACGTGTGCGTGTGGATGTGGTGAGAAGCTGCAACCCAAAGTGCATGCGCGCGCCCACACACCATGCAGCAATATTGAGTGTAAAGTGATTATAGTGGACCGGCGTCAGCCTCCTGCCGTGGCAGAGGCGGCTGAGAGCCTAGAGGGGGGCCGATCGGCCACTAACAGCGCGCGTAGAGGACGTAGGACACTTGCGAGCCGAAACCGGCAGCAAAGTGGAGCGCGTACTTGGCGTCGTGCGTGCCTCCTTCGCTGAGGCGGAGCGAGCCGAGCAGCGGGTCGGCTTGCTCGTGGTTGATCACCGGAGGGACGAAGCCGCTCGAGAGGGAGGCCACCGCCACGGCGTCCTCGAAGCAGACGCCCATCGCGTGGCCGGTCATCCCCTTGGTGTTTGTGATGATGATCTTGCGCGTCTCGGTCCCAAAGGCGGCGCGCAGCGCCGTCATCTCGGCGCCGGCGCAGCCGCCGCCGCGCGCGTGCGTGCACGTCTCGTGGGAAAAGTAGAGCAGCGCGTCTGCGATCTCGGTGCGGGTCAGACCGTGAACCGCCTCGACCTGCTGCAGCAGCGCCTCGAGCGTCTCGGCGGCGTGGCTCGTGCCGATGGCGGAGGCGTGGAAGGCCGAGTTTGTGTGCACCGTGCCGAGCACCTTTGCCCGCGGCGAGGCGGCGGGGCGGCTGGCCAGCGCCTGCGGTGCGGGCAAGGGGCACGCCGCGAGTGAGCGAGGAGCGAGCGAGGGAGGGAGGGAGGGAGGGGGTGGGGGGGTGGGGGGGTGGAGAGGGCGGAGAGAGGGGTGTGCGGGGCAGTCGCGCACCGTGTCCGTCTCGAGGACGAGCCCGACCGCCCCCGCGCCGAGGATCATGCCGTTGCGCCGCTTGTCGAAAGGGAGCGCCGCCTCCGCCGCCGACGGGCGGGTCGAGGCGGCGCCGAGGGCGAGGAAGCCGGTGCCGATCCAGGGCAGGAGCGAGTCCGACGAGGGGTTGTCCGCCGAGATGACAACCACGCGCGCGCACCGGCCCGCGCGCAGCCAGTCGCAGGCGAGGGAGATGGCGGCCGTGGTGCCGGCGCAGGCGGCATTGATGTGCAGGTTTGGGCCGCGCGCGCCGACGAGCTCGGCGAGCTGCGAGTTGGCCATGACTAGCAGCTTGAAGAGGAGCTTGCGGTTGAACTCGTACCGAGGCGCGCCGCCGCCGTCGCCGCCGCCATTGACGCCGTTGGCGGCGGCCGCCGGCGCGCCCTTTGCGCCCGCCGCCGCCGACTTTGCGCCGGCGGGAGAGGCGCCGGCGGCCGCGTCCAAGTCGACGACCGGCTCGCCGGCGAGCAAGCCGGCGCAGAGGTCGAGGAGGGCCTGCCGGGCGGGCGGGTCGAGACGCGTGGCGTGCGCCTCGAGCTCGACTGCGAGGGAGCGCCTCGCCGCGCCCGTCGCGCGCGCGAACCCGTCCGTCATGAAGCGCGAGAGCTCGTCGACGAGCGAGTCGAGGGCGGGGAAGGAGGCGGCAAAGATGACGCCTGCGCCGGGGGAGCGGGCGGGCGACGCGGATGGGTGGGACGGGACGGGACGGCGACCACTCGCGCCGTACACCGGCCGGCCGCGGGGGGAGGCGCGGGAGGAGGAGGCGCGCGAGGAGGCGCGCGAGGAGGCGCGCGAGGAGGCGCGCGAGGAGGCGCACCCGTCTCGTCGCGGTGCCTCTTGTCGAGTCTCCACGGCTTGTCCCGCCCGCTCGAGCCCGGCAGGGGGGCGCCCGAACCGCAACCGACGCCGCCTCCGGCGCCGGCGGCCGCGGCGTGGAAGTTCGGCTCCGAGGCGGAGCGGCGGTGCCTATTTTTCGCACCGCACCGCGAGGTCTCGAGGCGTGCTGCCCCCGCCCGCCCTTGCAGCGTGGGCGTGCGGCGCCGGTTCGCAGAGGAGGGAGGACCGTCCACGAGGCCCGCGTCTTGCAGCGCCTGGAGACCGGCGCCGATGGCGAGGGCGTACGTCGTGTCGAGCGTCTCGACGATCCGCGGGTCGACCCCAAAGTCGGCGGCCAGATCGAACCCTCCGATCCGCGACGCGATTTGCACCACCTCCTGCAGCGCAGAGAGCGGCCGGCGGAGCCGCTCGCCCGTCGGGCTCTTGGAGACCTGGACGACGTTCCTCGCGAGCTGGGCTTGGACGAGCGGGCGCGGCAGGGGCTCGATTAGGCTCTCGCCGCGCAGCAGGGCCTGCGGAGCCGGAGGGGAGAGCGGTGGAGGAGCGGAGGCTACGCGCGAGCCGGCGGGCAGTCGGCCTGCAGATTCGTCGAGTCGAAGACGCGGCGGCCACTCGCGCTGTTGGGCAGCCCAACAGAGATGCCACTGACGAAGCTGTCGCCCAGGTGCAGCCCGAGCGCGCGCACGCGCCGCGCCAGCGCCAGCGACGCCGGGCTCGTCTCAGCTGTTCCCGTCTCGTCGCGGCTGCTGCTCACTGCATTCGCGGCGGTCGCCTCGACGGGCGGCGGGCAGGCGGTCGAGGCGGTCGGTTCGGCGGCGCGGGAGCACTCCATCTCCTTCATCGCCTTTGGCGGCGGCCTCCACCCACGCAGCTTCGACCACATAAGGAAGGCGACAACGACGCCGACGGTGGCGATCGTTGCTGCCACCAGCAACGCGCTCACAGGCAACGGCGGGTGCGGCCCATCGACTCCCGCGGGAGGAGGCTCCGAGCACTCCATAAATAGTCTGGGTGGGGGGGGGGGTAAACGCAGAGAGGAGGCCGGCCCCTGCCGACGAGGAGGGAGCAAGGAGAGGCGGCGCGGCGTATAGATACGGCTGACCTGAACCCTTTTTTTTTTGACTTCGAGACGTGGCTTTCTCGAGGTTCTCGAGGTGGATGGCCGCGTTGGGTAGCGAGGATTGGTGTGACGCGATCCACGCAGGCGTGCTTTCTGGCGGCCGACCGTCAGTGCACGGAGTTGCCCCTTCTCCGACTGCCCCGGCGGCTAGTTCCCAGTGGCTGCTAGGCCAGCTACTTACTTAGGACAGGACGGCCGCGAGGTGTCATGAAGGTCGCCGCGATAATTGGCCAGGCGAGAGACTGCGAGGAGAGAAAGGAAGAGGCAGACGCCCAAGGCGCAACAGGGTTGTGAGCGCGACGGTTAGTTAGCCATCACATTCCTCTCCTAATACCTAAAATCCCGAGAGTGAAGAGAGAGAGAGAGAGAGAGAGAGAGAGAGAGAGAGAGAGAGAGAGAGAGAGAGAGAGAGAGAGAGAGAGAGAGAGAGAGAGAGAGAGAGAGAGAGAGAGAGAGAGAGAGAGAGAGAGAGAGATTGCAGTGTGGTGGCGGCGTGCCGTCCTCCCATCTCTCCCTTGGCAGGCCCCTACTCGAGTACCAGCCTACCAGGCCTTGTGGTTGTGCTGCTTGTTTTCTTTCTTTCTTTTGCCCGTCGCGCCCCTAGCGGTATAGGTAGGTATAGAAAGGTGAAGAACAGCGCTGGCTCAGACTGGACATCACCGCTCTCGGTATTGGGTGGACGCCGGGACAGAATGGCCCATTCTCAGAATCGCTCTCATGCTTGACCCCAGTCAAGGTTATGGGAGCGGCCATAACAGGTGTTATGGCTGTTATGGCTGGCTGCTCATAACACCTCATAACACCTCATAACACCTCATAACACCTCATAACACATCCATCGCTGTTATGGCTGTTATGCCCACCCTACCATGACACCTCATAACACCTCATAACACTCATAACACATCCCACTGGTTGTTATGACAGCCAGCATAACAACCTCATAACAGCTGTTATGTGTCCCACGGATTTTTCTTTTGGAGCCCCGCCGCGCGTATCCCGGCGTTCGCCGGTAAATTCTTCTTTCGCACAACACTGGGCACGGGTAAGATTCTTCTTTCGGAAATTGTAAAATTCTTCTTTCGGAGCGCCCGCCAACCATGGCCTACCGGATGAAGATGTTCAAGAGCCAGAAGCCCTCGTCGGTTGACCTGCGTGACCTGCGCGTCTCCGACTTCAAGAGGGTTCCCGGCTTCAACTATGTGTCGGCGGAGGACGAGCACACGGACAACTCGATGTGTGCTCTGACATCCGAGAGGCGTGGGCCATCAACGCGTCAAACGGCCTGCAAATCTACGCGTTTCCCGAGGGATCGAAGGACGAGTCGGCGACGTGTTAACTTGGACGCCGAAAATGTTTCAGAGCGTCATGTCCGTTTGGTGTGCCCGGCCATCCGACCTCGGCTCGGACATGTGGCTAGCCGTCGTCGAGATTCCGAGCAAGCAGCAGAACGCGCCCCTGTTCGGCACGTTGGAAGTGGCGGCTCCGCTGAGCGCGTGTTATTGAATTTAACTTGAGGGCAAAAGAGAAAATATTTGGCGATCGATGCCGACCGAACCTCGCGCGCGGGACCTGTTCCTTTTTACCCATCTCACAGTAGAGGTGTCCGTTTTTATTTACTCGCGCGCGGCAGCGCGCGAAACGAAATTCCAGCGGCGAGCAGTTCGGTGTGGCCTCGCTTGCGTCTCGGGCCATAACACCGTGGATCCGGGACGGCTCTCTCATAGCTGTCCATAACATGTATCCAGTCTCATGGGTGTTAAGGGGCCGGCCCCATACCACCCATAACAACCCATAACATGTTATGGGCTGCTATGCCCCGAGAGCCATAACACCATAACAATAACTGCGCCTGGGGACAATCATGCGAGATGCGGTGCCGCATGGACCCACATTTGCACCTCTTTGTTTTTTGAAAACATGTGCACACACAAACGAGAAACGTCCCACCATCCCCAGGGCTGCGCAGGGGGCGCTACCTCTCAGCGACCTTTGCCTTCTTGTCGAAATAGTCCGCGCCGCCCTGTCTGACGGTGCCGCTACTGTCGAGCCACTCGTCGGGCGGCGGCCGCTCGTGCCTGCGTGTCAGAGCGGAGGGCGATGAGATCGGCACGCAAACGGTCCCCGGCTTGCTTGGGATGGCCATTCCGCGGGTTGTGTTTGTTGCGCGCGCGCGCCTCGCTGCCAGCTCCATCCGCCCTCGGATGAAGTCAATCTTTCGCTGCGTCGAGTCCCCGTCCAGCCACTTGCCGATGCTGTGCCGCTTGGCCTGGCGGCGAGGGAGAGGCTTTGGGTGGTGCGGGGACGGGAGAGGCGGCGAGGGGTGAGAGCCGCCGCGCCTCGAGCGCCTCAAAGAGCTGGATGGCGGTCTTGAAGCGGTCGACCGCCTCGTCCCACTCCCCGAGACCTACAAGCGACGGCCGTTTTCCTCTCGTGTTCACAGCGCTCACCGCTCTCCGCCGGGATGAACGGCACCGTGGTATGCGGCGGCCACGTTGTTGGTCAGCGCGGCGACGGTCTCATCGGAGACAGACTTCGCCTGCTGCGCAATGTGCAGCGCGCGCGAGAAGAGAAAGGCGGCGCCGTGAAACTCCCGGGCGTTGAACAGCAGCTTTGCAGCCGTCGAGGTGAACTCCTCCATGCGATGGATGCGCGCGGCTTCGCCCAGCGACTCGAGCGAGGCCTTCCACTCGTCGGTGATGGGCGGGCCGTACCTGCAGATGACCGGAGGGGGGTTCAAGGTGCGCACCAGTAGGTTCGACCGCCGCGAGTGGACGCGCGCCATTCTGCATCGGATGGCCCAGCGCCGTGCTGCGGCGAGAGACCCATCTCCATCTCGCTGGCGTACAGAAAGGGGTCGAGGCTCGGCGGATTTCTAGACTGCATTCGAGACGGCAGTGGTTCATCCATGGAATGAACGGGCCGGCGCGAACAACGCCGAACTGCCGGCGCGAACAAACAGCCCGCGAAAGAATTTTTCGGGCCGCATTCTGGCTTGGCCTTTATAGATCTACGTTATTCGTCCGATTCTATATTCTTTTTCGAAGCGATTCTCAGCGATTTTCAGCGGGAATATAAAGAATATTTGAGAATATAGGCCCGATTTGGGGAGCTGTATTCTTGGCATATTCGAGAATATAGACCCTGTTTGGGACAAGACTACGGAAAGAATACGGAAAAAGAATATAGATAGTACTGGGCGAGAAAAACGTAGGCCAAATTCTGGCACGACGGTCGACGGTTGGGAGTCCACCGTGCACCGCGCTGCGAGCCTGTCGTGTCCCTTGCTTGTCAGGAGCACCCCACCTGTGCCCCGGATCGTCCTTCCAAAATCCTGCTCGTGCAGGTGTGGACCCTGTCCTCCTCCCCCATCCCTCGTTTGCGTTGTTGTTTTCTTTCTTTCTTTCTTACACTAGGCACGGGACACGAAGAAAGATTTTTTCCAACGCCGCGGAGCTCCTTTGGCGCAGCGATCGTGGCCAGCGCAACTCGCCTGTGGACTCAACGCTCAGCCAGGAGCTCTCCCGCAGGCGCCTGGGGCGCGAGCCATGCATGGCGCATAAACGCTCAGCAATGATGCCTCGCCTCAGAAGCACTGCGACGAATGCGGCACCGGCGACGCATGGCAGGCTGGTCATCGATGACGCAGTTATAGGGTGTTGTGTGCCGTCAGAGTGACTCTCTGTGTGTCAGGGGGACATTCAGGGCCGTCCATCACGAGCTCCAGTAAGCTCGGAGACACCCCATCAGTGTGCGGCTCGACCTCTTTGAGTCACTTCCTTCCTTCCCGCTGTACCTGAGCACTTGAGCACTGGATAGGGTCGATTCCGCGTGGTTACGGGACCCCTCGATCGTCTCGCCCTCCCTCACTGGTGTGTTCAACATTGGGGGGGGTCATTAACAAACCGACGGTACAGGATCGAGGTGCACGCTGCAGAAGCAGTGTCGTCCCCCCTCTCCATGCCATCATCTCGCCAGGAGACGTCGGCGGTGGTCGTGGCGGTGTGACCGATCGAGCTACAAGAGGAGCTAGACCGGCAATCCGTGCGAAAAGCATCAACTAATAATTAATGAACAAATATTGCTCGGTCGTCCCTGGAGTCCGTCTCGATCTGGAGGAGACGGGTCAACCCCGTGAGGACCAGATCACGTGCATCTTGTCGTAGCCGGAGGGGATGTTGACCTTTAGCTATTGGAGCCGTCCTGTCCGTTGTTTTCTCACACCAAACCATTTACACGCCCTGTGATCACGACTCGTCAGATCTTCAAACTATTCATATCTTGTACACGACTGTGAGTATTTACCGGACGGCAGGCGCACGCAAGAGCGGTGTCCGATAACCAAGCCCCAGCAATATTAAAGCCCCAGAGCGCATACCAACGCCGGTTACGGCTTACGCGCCATATACACACCGCGCCCCCCGCTTCTTCGACTGACGACTTTGTACCCGGTAATTCCGCTGCGACTTTCAGTGTAGGCTGCCATGTTCTTAGCTGTCCACCAATCCAACACGCCGCTCGTCTTGCAGCACACTGAGCCCTGGTGTCGAGGTGTCGAGGCCCGGTGTCGAGGGTGTCGAGCTGCTGTCGAGGGATAGTTGGGCTTTACGAGAGTTTCCTCTCGCACCCTGCCTGGTTTCCTTTCCGTGTTTCCTGCTAGTTTCCCTAGAGCACCCTCTAGTTTCCTGGGGAAACTGAGCCGAGTCTGAGGCTGGTTTGGGCCCCAAATCAGCCAAATCGGCAAATACCGGGGTATTTTGCGGGTATACCTGGAAAACCCCGGGTATACCCTGGAAAATACCCAGAGCGGCCGCACACTGCTCGGTACCCCCCTGCACATCTAAAGGCATCCCTGCTGCTAGGGGGGGGGGGTCTGACCCCCCCAGCAGCAGAGCTGCTAGGGGGGGGGGGTCCCGACCCCCCCAGCAGCAGAAGGCATTGGACCCAGCTCTCCCGCCTCTTCGCCGCCGCCGCCCCCTCCCACCTCGGCTCGTGTTTTAGCGGTACGGTTAGCGAGAGGCATAGAAGAGGTTAGCGAGAGGCATAGAAGAGGTTTGGTCGGTTGTGTTCACCGCGCCTTCGAGCCCAATACACCTTCGTCGTGTCGAGTGCTGGCGTTTTACTAACGACTTGTGAGATGTGACCATGGTGAGTCTATCTTGTACTACCACACTAAAAGCCGTATAGTGTGAGCCACTCACTCGGGCGTCTCGGCTGACGTTGATCGATCAGCGTTGATCTCCCTAGCCTATCGGTCCCCCGCTCGATCCTCGGATCGCTCGCTCGTCGAAATCGATCGACTGAGCTGTCGTAGTGGAGCGTCCACTTTTCTTTTTTCGAAAACGCGCGCGGCACGAGAGGCGTAGAAGAGAGACTGGCGTGCCCCGCGCCCGGCTGGCAGTAGGAGGGTACGCCGGTGAGACCACTGGTTATGGAGTCGACCATAAAATCTCGCCACTGGAGCGCTAACCGTACTTACTTACTTACAGCTGCTGTCTGTACAGAGATGCCAACACCCCCCACAGGCAGAGCGCTCCTGCTGGGGGGGGGGGGGGGGCCCGACCCCCCCGCAGCAGGGCGCTGCCTGGGGGGGGGGGGGGGGGGGGCCCCCCCCCCCTTTAAAGGGCCGGGGGGGGACCCAGCAATGGGCGGCCCCCCCCCCCTAATTTGGCCGGTTCCCCCGGTTCCCTTCCAAATTTGGCCCCAAACAATTTTCAAAATCTGGGAAAATCCAGAGTTTCCCAAATGGAACCCGAATGGGGCACCAAACACCCTCTGGTTCCCTGGAAACTTCCAGAAACGCAAAGTGCTGGGGACCCTCTAGTTTCCCTCCGGGTTGCCGGAACTCTCGTAAAGGCCAAAGGGATAGAGGTGTCGAGGCCTATCGAGGCCTGTCGAGGCCTGTCGAGGCCTGTCGAGGCCTGTCGAGGCCTGTCGAGGCCTGTCGAGGCCTGTCGAGGCCTGTCGAGGCTGGGACCATGCTTGTCCGTGTCGAGGTGTCGAGGAGTGGTGTCGCGGGTGTCGAGGGGTGTCGAGGGTGTCGAGCGGGTCGAGCGGGTCGAGCGGGTGTCGAGTGTTGTCCAGGTGTTTAGCGTCTAAGGTGTCGAGGTGTCCAAGGTGGCAGGAAGCAGTTGCATCCCATAACAAAACTTGGGCAGCAGTTGCAAAGCTGTTTCGTCCCTTAGTTGCAGCCTCTCAGTTGCACCCCTGTTGATGTAGCACAACCTGTGAGCACAACCAGTATACTCTGTGGACATTTGAGGACATCAAGCTCATTGCCAGGAGTCATTGCCACTGCACAAGGTGCTGTGCAGGCGCAGCACCTAAGGCTACAGCACACCCCATGTAGCAGCGTCGCCGCTGCAGCGTCGTCGCCGCTGCAGCGTCGCCGCTCGCCGGCGCACAAAGCGCAACTGACCACAGCGCTCATGGCACAGGCTGGATGGCTGGTGCCATGAGTCAGTGGACATTGCCACTGCACAAGGTGCTGTCCAGCAGCTAAGGGCGACAGTACCCCATCGCAGCAGCGTCGCCGCCGCTGCCAGCGTCGCCGTCGCAGCGTCGCCAGTGCACAAAGCGCAATGGACCACAGGTCCGCACTCATGGCACAAGCTCACTGGTGTGAGGATTCATTGCCACTGTACAAGGTGCTGCGCAGCACCTGAGGGCTACCTGAGTACTGCCATGGTTGCTACATCAACAGGAGCTGCAACTTGAGCTAGAACTTGAGAGGCTGCAACTGAGGGATAAAAGTACTGCCAGCCAAGTATTGCTGCTGCAAACCCTGATTTTCTAACTCTGTGACTCCAAATGGGTCTCGTCTGTCGAGGTGTCGAGTTTGGCACCTTGACACGGACGAGCATGGTCCCCGCCTAGATGGTGTCGAGGGGTGTCGAGGGGTGTCGAGGGGTGTCGAGTTGGTCGAGTTGGCATGGGGTGTCGAGGTGTCAAGTCGGTGTCGAGGTTTGGTGTCGAGGTGTCGATGAGCGGCGGCAGCTTGGCCTGCGCAAAACCGGGAAGGGTGGAGCTGAGGGAGGGAGAGGGAGAGGGAGAGGGAGAGGGAAGGAGCTGAGGGAGGGCAGCAGCTCGCCTGCGCGAAGGCTCACAGAGGAGAAGGACGCGATCTGCACCAGCGAATGTAAGAAAAAAGAAATAAATCTCCATCTCGCCAGCGAGCCGTCTTTTTACCAGGTTGCAACCCCTGTTTCGCACTGTGCTGTGAACGCTGCTGGTTGGCGTCGGTTGCGCGGCACCCCGTCCCCATCCAGGTTGTTGGTTGCTGCCCCAGCGCAGGTCCCGCACCATGATCCATGTAGGTGCAATGCCCCGTTCTCTGGAACTGGATCATGCTTGTTCGGGTACGTGGTTCGCCCGTCCCTGTGTCCCGTGCACGTCGCCCGTCGGCAAAGCCGACGACCTAGGTGCAATACACGCCGCTGGTTGTGGGGAGGACGTGCCGCTCGATGCTGCGGGCGGCGTTGACGTTCACAGCCAGTTCACGAATTTGGTTGGCCCCAACTCTTCGGCTCGCTCCGCTCGCCGGTGAGTTGGTTGGTTGCTGGCAGCACCCCAGCACCTCGGGGTCCTGATGAGAGCTGTTGGCTGAAGACGGGGGGTTGAGACGGGGGCAAGCACACGCGCGCCTTCTCCGGTGTGTCTTCATGGCCACCGTCGGGACGCTCCTCGGCATGTGCTCTCGCGCTGAGGCTGCGGAGCGCCAGGCGTTTCGCGAGCTCTCCGTCCTCGAGCAGCTGGCCGGCACAGAGCGGGATGCGCGGCCAGCTGCCGACCCGCGACTAGTCGTCAAGCGCTATCAGCGGCCAGCCGCCGGTGCGCCGCCACCATCAGCTTCGGAGCTGCGCCCTAAGAGCGTGCTCAACGCCACCACGCGCCACCTACTCGGGCTGTGGACCTCACGCACCGACGTGCCTGCCGCCGCGCGCTGCGCCTTCATTTCGGACCGGCTGCGGGCGGTGCTCTCTCAGCAGCCCTCGCCGCCGACACTCCGCCCCCCCACGCCCACGGCGGTGCCATGTGCGCCACCGTAGGTAGCGCAGGACCTCACCGTGCAGCGGGTCCATGCGCCGCGACTGCTCGCTCGCATAGCCAGGCCCGAGCACACACGCCAAAGGAACTCGCCTCTCGGGTCCGGTGCCCTCTCACGGCTGCCTCGGCGCGAGCAGGTTTCACGCACTGATGGAGCTTGCCTTCGCGCACCTCGACGCGCCCGAGGCGAGCGGCCACTCACGCGTGCGGTGCCTTAGATGCAGAACAAGAGGAGATGCTGCGATGCACCCGAAGGGGCGTGGTCTCGTGAGCTCGTGCCCAAAGGTACGCGTCGTGGACATGTCATTGGCCCTCGCCTCTGCACAGCGCACGCACGCCTGGCCACCGCGAGAGGCTGCGGAGCCGTGGCAGAGGGCGGCGCCTGCCCGTGTGCAGGTGCACAATCGGATGCTTCTCTGCAACGTCCTCATCTCAGCGCAGGCACCCGCCCCGCCCGCCGGCCGTCCAGACCTGCACACGATTGGCTACCGGTAGTGAGAGTGGCACGTCGGTGGGACCGGTGCGCGCGCAGTCTCAGTCAGGGTGGGGACTTGCGAGGCGACACCCTCTGCCTCTGCACGCAGTCTGGCGCCGCCGACGCCGACGCCAGCCTCGACGGGGCCGAGGCGAACGCTGCGCCGCCCGCGAAGCCGAGGGTAGCGGTGGGGCGTGGAGAGCACGAGCCCTCCGCAACCTCCGTAACCGCCGCGCCGGCAGCCGTCGCGCTGGCCACACCGGCCGCACTCGCTCCGCCGCCGCCGGCTCCGCTGGGGGCCGACCATCCGCGGGCGGCCGCGGGTGCGGTGGACGAGGCTACGCTGGCGCGCGCCTTCGCCATCGCCAACGGCAGCCGCGAGCAGCCCGACGCCCTCCGCCCCCTCCTTGCGGGCGGCGCCGCGAGCGCGGTGCGCCACGCCCGAGCGTGGGGCGGAGGGCGGCCCGTGTTTGCCGCAGCCCGCCGCGGGGTGCCGACGTCCATAGGCGATGCGCGGCGGCATGTACGACTCGTGGACGCTGCTTCACGCGGCGGCACAGAAGGGGCACGCCGCACACGTCGCGCTGCTCCTCTCCCACGGCGCACCCACCGACGCGGCCAACAAGAAGGGCGACACGCCGCTCTCAAAGGCGGTCGGTCGCGCCGCCGCCGCCGCCTCCGCGTCCGCGGCGACGCCGCCGCCGCCGAGCGGTCACGAGGAGGCTTGCCGGAGGGCGGTTGGTGCGGGATGGACCTCTCTACGCTTCGTCCACGACGCGTCCGCAGCGCGTCCATAGGTCATCCGGCTGCTGTTGCGGGCGGGCGCCGAGCCGTGTGCGGCAAACCTCAGGGGCGTTACCTCTCTCGACCTTGCGGCGGGCTGTGAGCGGGTGCTGGCTTTGCTTCGTGCCGCGCCCTCTCTGGCGGCGTCGAGGGGCGAGGGGGCGTTTGGCACGGCGGCGGGCGAGGGGGAGTTTGGTGCGGGGCCAGCCGGCGACGAGGTGGTTGCGGCCCGAGTGGCGGGGCCGGAGGCGGCAGCGGGGGGGGCGGGAGCGGATGCGGCTACGGCAGCATCAGAGGTGGAGGCAGCAGCGGAGGCGGAGGGCGAGGACGAGTCGGAGGTCGAGGCAGAGGTGGGAGACTTCCCCCCCCCCCCCCGGCCTGAGCAGCGCGTCCGCCGACACGTCCACGTCCCGCAGGCGGAGTTGTTGGGCTACTTTGTGCTGCTCCACGCTGACCGGCCCGTGGAGGCGCGCCGAGATCTCCCCGATCTCCCCGAGATATCCACGGCGTCGCCGAGACGTCGCCGAAACGTTGCGCCGAGAAGTGGCGAACCGAGGGAGGCAGATTGTGGGCCAGCCGAGACGTCGGCCGAAATGTTTCGGGGGTGTCCCGTCCGCCCTCCAAGCCCGCCTCGCGTTTGCGGCGCAGGTGAGCACGGCGCTTGCCGCCGCGCCCTTGCTCGCCGCGCGACCCGCGGTCGTGCAGGCGCTACGCATCGTCGCCGCCTTCGGGCGCGGCGACGCGCCATCCCTCCGCCGCGCCCTCGCCGCCGCGCCGCCGCTGGCCGCCGCTTGCTGCCTCGCCCTGCTGCCGGCGGCGCGCTCGGCGCTGCTCCGCCAGCTGCACGCCGCCTCCAACGGTCGCGAGGCGCTCCCCCTCGAGTGGGCGGCACGGCTGCTCTGGCTCCCAAGCGCCGAGGCGGCGGCCGCCGCCGCTGCCGCCCACGGCGTGGCAGCGGAGCAAGGAGGGTTGCGGCTCAAGCAGCCGGGCTTCACGATGCGGCCCGAAACAACGCTACCCCCGCTGCCGCCTCCCGAGCTGGCACGCTGGTACGAGCGGGGCGAGGGGGTGGGCGCCGCGTTGCTGCGCGCTTCCTCGGGCTTTGCACTGCCAGTGGCTCGTGAGCGTGCAATGCCCCAGAGCTCTCGAGCGAGAGCTAGCACGCGTGTGTAGAAGCTAGAACGAGTGTGAGGCTTGCCGAGTGTCGCTTCACCAATCTCTTCCTCACACTCCGCGCTTCACTCCGCGTTGATCAAGTGATCAACTCGTGTAAACAACTGCTCCGATGGAGCGATTCTAAGATCAGGTCTTAGCACTTAGGTCTAGCACTGGGCGGAAAATTGGCCCAAGGGCAAGGCCCCAATTTTATCGAACGTTTATTTGCCAAATTATATTTCAAAATCTGCAGGCGCAAGAAATTTGCAGTCGGGCCTGATTTTCATCAAGATCTTTCAAATTTGCGGTGTGGAGTTTTGGGGGGTCGGGGTGGGTTAGGGTTAGGGTTATTAGGGTTAGACCTCTTAGAGGGTTAGGGTTAGGGTTAGGGTTAGGGTTAGGGTTAGGGCTAGTCTTGTTGTGTCTGTATATGCCAGCGTTGCAGGGTTCTGCGCTGGGTTCTGGCCCCAGCGCCGACGACTAAGACTCAGCCCCGCACGCTGACCCCACCAAATGCCGCCTCAGGGCGCCAGCCACCTCTTACACGCGGCCGGCGCCCTCTCGCGGCAAAAGGGTCGAGCGAGCGGGCAGAGTCGCGCGGTGTCTGCGCACCCGCGTGCCGATGGGCGGCACACGCAACCGAGAGAGGCCCTGTCACGCCGCCAGTAGCGTTCCGCACTCCCCACGCCACCAAATGCCGCCTCAGGGCGCCAGCCTTCTCTCCCAGCAAGACGCCCCGGGGCACGACGAGCGCGGTGCCGCGTCTCCCGTTTCTGGTGGCCTCTACCGGGCTCGGCGGACCGGGCAGCGCGCGATGAGAGCATTGCGCCGGCCAAGGCATCGTCGCGGGCCCGTCGCGCGCTCAACCTGGCCAAGAAGAAGGAGGACAACTAGGCACCAGACAACTAGGCGCCTGAGACGGGTCTTCGAGCAGGAACGCAGGCCGTTCATGCTCGCCATCAAAGAGCTGCGTCCTCCGGCGGCCGCCTGCGCTAGAAGTCATCGGCGCCAGAGCCGGGAGGTGCGCGCGGTCGGTCGCGGGAGAGCGCAATGCGATGGCCTGAGCGAGGACGGCTGTGCGCCCGCGCGTAAGCCGTGTCTGGGGAGGTGAACCTGAACGCGTCCAGTTGAGTGGTGGGATGTCGCGTGTGGGTGTTCGCCGCCTATATGCTCTATCCTGCGGCAAGACGGACGCGCTTTGACAATCAAAATCTACCTCAAAATTTGCGGCCGCCCCTCGAAATTTGCTGATCAAAATTTGCGGTGGCCCGGATCGAAACCTGTGCTTTGGCCAAGGCGGAAATCGGCCGTCCCTCAGTGCTTCCAGCCTGCCCGCTTGAGTTTCCTCAATTGGCTCAAATTTTGCAAGTAGAAAAAAGAACACCGCCCCACTCGAAGCCAGCCAGCCCCGCTCGAAGCCAGGCGCACGGCAGCCCCGCTCGAAGCCGTGGCGCTGGCGGCGCAGGCTGCCACCGCTCTGCCCGGGTGCGCCGAGCGGCGGCGGAGGGCCGCCCAGGCCACCACCAGTGCCCCTCCCACCGGCGGCGCGGCGGCAGCGGCGCCGACCGCCCCTCCATCAGCGGCGGCGCGACGGCTGTCGTCGGGGCGCCGGCAGGTGCCGCGCGCAGAGGGTGCCACCGGACCGGCCGACGCGCGCCCGGCGGAGCCTTCGTCGTCCATGGCGGGCCGAGCACCCCCGCGTCGCTTCTCGGCGCATTGGAGAGCAGAGGAAGCTGCTGGCGTCGCCGCTGGGATCGGCGGCGGCGCCAGCAGCGTTCTCGGATCTGAAGCCGACTTTGAGCGCCGATCGATCGATCTGAGGGCTGGCCGATGGGTGGCGCTGGGACATCGCCGCCGCCGCGGAGGCCGGCGGCGACCAGAGGAGCGGTTGGGGCGCGTGGCGCATATGTTACCTGCCATGTGAGAGCATCCAAGTGTGCTTCGAGATTTATTCGAGATTTGGAACTTAGATTTCCCTTTTCAGCAGTGGGGAGGTGCGCGCCATCCCTGATCTTAGAATCGCTTGGCCTTTACACCATACTAGCAGGTTGGCTCGCTAGTCGCTCGCCGGCCCGCGCAGCACGCGCGGGCCTTTTTTGTGGTCGGATGTTGGTCGTCTCGAATTTGATCGTGGGCAGGGCGTGAGAAAGCTGGACGGCTCGGTCGATGCGAGCCACCAGCTCGTGAGCGACGGGCGCGACGGGTTCCTCGGCGTAGGCTTGGTCGTGGTGAGCAGCGCCGGCGAGAGAGGGACGGCATGCGGCTCCCAAACGAGCCGCACGGGCTTCATCTGGGCCGCCGAGGCCACCTCCTTGGTCGCGGTGGCGGGCGTGAAGGCGAGGTGGGCCGAGGCAAGCGCTGAACGTGCCGTGCCGCCTTGCGCCCCTGAGGAGGGACGAGTGTGTGGGGTGCCACGGGCGGGGGGGAGCGGTGAGAGGAGAGCGGTGGGCACCCCCACGAGGGGCTGCGCTGACGCCGCCTGCCACCCCACGCACGCCACTGACGCTGTGGGGGCGGCACGATCGAACGCGCTGGTCGGGCGGGCCGTCTGAGTCGCCCAAGCGGTGCTCTGCCGGCCGGTGGACGCGAGGGTGGCCCAAGAGGGCTCAAAGTACGGAGCCGATACCCGGCCGTCCCGGACGCCTGGCACGCGGGCCAATGGCCCAGCTGTCCTGTGCATGGCTGGAGCGAAGGAGGGAGAGCTCAGGAGGGCGACGGGGCAGGGAAGGGGGCGATGCGATGCGGCGAGGTCTAATCGGCGGCGTGGAGAGAGGAGGTGCCAAAAGGCGACTATAAAGAGGCCTCTACGGGTGATATAGTGCGCCATGCCGGCGGGAGAGGTCTCTCACCGCCCCCCGGGCCGTCTCGAAGGGCCGTGCAGCCCACGCCACGAGGCGCTGCTGGCGGGAGCCTGGAAGGACTTGGCCTCGTTGCACCGCGCCGCGTTGATTCGCGACCACCGTCGGCCGCGGACGGCGTCGGCGTGGCGGCCGCGGGCGCTCGCGAGACGCGCCGCTCTGCGCTGGTTCGGTTCGTTCGACTCGTTGTGCCGCCGCACGCCCGGCGGCCGCGGGTCCCAGAAGTGGTTGCGCGGGCCTCTTCCTTTCGGCCGCGGGACGGCGTCGGGCACGTCGTCGGTCGCAACAGCGGCGCGGCGAGCCGTGGCACGTCGTTGCTGGCGCTGGTGGTTTGAGGTCGGCATCGTCCAGAGCTCGGTCGACGAGTCGAGAGCTTCAGCTGGTTCGGTGCCATGTTTGTGCGGAAAGTGGCAAATATATCTCTTTGATTCTCGAATATCTTTGAGAATATAGAGGGTCCCGCGCACTTCCATATTCGAGAATATTCTCGAGAATACAGCCCCGGCCGGCTTTTCCCTCAAGAATATACGAGCTTTCCGCAGCCCTTGACCTTAGTAGACCTCGAGTCCAAAGATATTCTTGAATATTCTTGACGTTGCCGCTGTGCGGCGTCTAAAACGGTCTTGACGAGAGAGCTCGAAACAGCTATTCCCCCCTCAACAGTAGGTTTCGGGTCGATGCCGACTGAAATCTTTAAGTTTTGGAGGTTCTGAGCGGGTTTGGAGCGACTTTTGGTCTCCGTCGATCTACGCGAGGTCAAAATATTCTCAATATTCGAGAACATTCTCGAGAATATAGTATATAGAGGGCCCAGAGAGAATATGATGCAAAGAATATAGATAGCCTTTGCAGAGAAAAGCGTGTAAAGGCCAAAGAATCGCTCGCGTTGGCACCGCACAATAAACATCTCCAACATGGTGGTGTACACTTTGGAGTCCGCCGAGTGCCCTCTGCGTCTGCCTGCGTGGCTCCATGTGGATGCCATGTCGCACTCGCAGGTGATCAGCCGGAGCCGCACACAACACACCAAACAAGTCACCAAACGCGACAGCCTGGGCGGGCGCTCCTATATCGGCGGTATCTGTCGATCTCCTTCTATCACGTGATCGGCCCGCAACATCCCTTCCGCCTGCGCGCCGGGGCGCCTTCTAGGCGACTAGGCCCGCGAGTAGCCCCTCCCCGTCCCCAGGCCGGGTGGCCCAGGGCCTCCTCCCTCGCTCCCTCTCCAGGGCAAATGAACACCGAGCCCCCACCAGTGCCCACACGGACCACACTCGCCGGAGAAATCTACTCATCGTCGGTCAGGTCGATGCTCTGGACGGCCTCGATCTTCGTCAAGTCGATGACCATGGGTGCGCTGTGCGGCTGCTCGTCGTCTTCTTCTTCGTCCTCGCTGCCGGAGGCATCCTTGTACGACCCTGAGTACCGCTTGCGCTTGGCGCCGGCCTCGAGGACCTGAGTTTCATCCTCGTCCCGAGGCCTGTAGTTGAGAGCCCCCCGCTGGTTTCGGATGAACATTCGCACGAACGAGTGGACGAGCGCCTCGTCCTCGACAGCGCTGGGTCGGTAGTAGAGGTCGTAGAGGGCGGCGCAGTTCTGAGGAGACGTCAAGTGGTCGTAGAGCTTTTCCTTCGCCCGCTGTCGCTCAAACCCGTGGGCGGGGAGTCGCAGTTCTGTATGGAAGACTTCGATCCCTGGCGGCTGCGCACGAGTCCACACAGGCTTCTGACGCGTCGAATCAAAGCCCATTCGTACGAGGCGGCTGGAGCGATCAAATGCGGCTGAGGCAATGAATGTGGCGGAGAGCTCGCCGCGCTTGGCAAGGAAGAGGAACTTTCCCAAGGGCACGCTGACCGCACCGAACGGACGATCAGCTCGTGGTTGCCCATTTGTCGACATCCGAGGGGGCGGCCGCACTAGACGATGCAATCCATTTTTTCGTCCCCCCCTCTCGGAAGTTTTGCCGTTTGTCCGCACTGACAATCCGGCAATTTTTTCTCGTCCCCCCCTTCCCGGCGTGGCGAAGTTTTGCCGTTTGTCGCGAATCTTTTATTTAGTTAGCCATTTGCCACCGCGGCGACTTCAGCGGCATGCATGTTTTGCGATTTGATTTTTGGTTGGTCTTCTTTCTCTCTCTAGTGAGTGAGTGTATGTATACATACATACCCGGACGGAGGTGGGTGGACTGCTGATGAGGAGCTACTCCGAGGGTATTTTTTCAGTGTATGTAGCTCTTAGAACTAACATGCCCGGGAGGCGGACTGCTTGACGGGTTTTGCGAGAGGAGGAGCGACTCCGAAGGGTATCTCCGGGGTTAGTTAACCACTAACCGCCGCTGCGCAAGAACTGCGACCACGGGCGCGTCGGTCTCATACACATACTTTTGTTTAGCACCCACCATTGAGAGGGGCAGCAACGAGGAGACGCCCCAAAGCCACGCAAGCCGAGGGCCGACAAGGCTCAAGGGGGTGCCGAGAGGCCCGCGAGCCCTCAAAGGCACAAAGGCCTACCAGATCGGGCACCTCAGCCTACTGCGGTTTCGGCACGGGCGCGAGAGGCAAGTGTCACAACGGACCCTCGACGCGGTGCGCGAGGCGCAGGGAGCCGGGGTCGAGCCGTGGAACACGGCCGAGCACGACAGGGCCGTCCACAATCCAGCGCCCGAAGGCGGGACGACGAACTCGATGGAGAGCGAGCCGCCGGAGAGCGAGACGTGCGACGACGAGGGGGACGACGAGGGAGACAAGAGCGCCTCGGCGGACGACGAGATGGCATTTATCGACGATGCGTTCTTCGAGCTTCCCGACGTGGTAACGGAAGAAGAGGCGGAGGGCGGGGGGAGTCACAGTACAGCCAGCAGAGTCAGGGGGGCGAGAGCGAGGGGAGCCAGAGCAGCCAGGGCAGCCAACGGGCGCGCGCGAGGAGAGAACGGCGGAACCAGCTCGCGGCGCAGCGGTTCATGGATCGAATACGATTCTTGACCCCAGACACAGTTATTGTTATGGTGTTATGGCTCTCTGGGCATAGCAGCCCATAACATGTTATGGGCTGCTATGAGAGAGCCGTCCCGGGTCCACGCACCACGGTGATATGGCCCGAGAGGCCACGCCGAAGTGCTCGCCGCTGGAATTTTCGCTTCGCGCGCTGCCGCGCGCGCGAGGTTCGGCATCGATCGCCAAATGTTTTCTCTTTTGCCCTGAGCCAGCGAGTTGTACGTGTGCTCGCGCCTCCGTCGACACAGACAGCACATAGTTGAAGCCGGGAATTCTCTTGAAGTCGGAGACGCGCAGGTCAAACGACGAGGGCTTCTGGCTCTTGAACATCTTCATCCGGTAGGCAATGGTTGGCTGAATGGCTGGTAGTAGCTACGCGGCGCGGGGCGGGCGCTCCAAAAGAAGAATTTTATTGAACAAACACCGGGATACGCGCGGGCGGGGCCCCTCCTTTGAAAAAGTCCGTGGGACAGAAAGGTCAAATTCGGTTTTGGCCGAGGCATAACAGCTGTTATGAGGTTGTTATGCTGGCTGTCATAACAACCAGTGGGAGGTGTTATGAGTGCTATGAGGTGTTATGAGGTGTTATGAGGTGTTATGAGGTGTTATGGTTAGGGTGGCCATAACAGCCATAACAGCGATGGAGGTGTTATGAGGTGTTATGAGGTGTTATGGGGTGTTATGAGCAGCCAGCCATAACAGCCATAACACCTGTTATGGCCGCTCCCATAACCTTGTCTGGGGTCAACGATTCGAACTTCGGCTCGGGCACAGGGGGAGCGAAACTAGTCGTCAAGCCCGCGCCGGCCAAAGCTAAGGCTCGCGCCCTGACGTGTAAGTGCTCATGTGCACCGAGCCCATATACGCACCTGCATGTGTGGACGCGAGTATTAACTAAGATGAGCGCCCACGCATGAGGATGCGCGTCTGCGTCCAGGTAGCCCAGAAGATACGCGTCTTCGTGTCTGGGCGCTTATCTTGAGTAAGGCTCGCGCCTACCTGTGTAGCTGCGTATCTTGAGATGAGCGCCCACGCTTGTGGCGCCTATCTTAGCTAGTACTCGCGGTGTCGGCGTGCGTGCGTGGCGGTCAGCATACGCTCCCACACATGCAGACGCGAATATTAGTCAATATGAGCGCTCACAAGTGCAGGCGCGTATGTTGACACACGCACCTGCGCATATGGCGCTCAAAAGTGAATAGTTTTGGGTGATACGCGCTCAAGTCGCCTGTGTCATCTGTCCCTGGCTTGCTGGGCGCTGCTTTATGGCGGATCTCCTTGATGCCGCGGAGGATGATGCCGGCGCCGAGGTGCCCGCGGCGGCCGGGTAGCGAAGCGTTCAAAACCACATGGCGGTCAGCAACATCGAGTGGAAAGACGTGGCGACGGTCGTCGAGCCAGCCGTGGCCAAGTGTCTCAACCCCGGCCTGCGCGAGAGGAGGACTTGACGGAGGAGGCCGCACCTTCTTTGTCGTCCGCAAGCGCCCCGAGGGGGCCGCCGTGAAGTATTGGCGCTCATCTCAAGATACGCAGCTACACGTGTAGGCGCGAGCCTTACTCAAGATAAGCGCCCAGACACGAAGACGCGTATCTGGGCTACCTGGACGCAGACGCGCATCCTCATGCGTGGGCGCTCATCTTAGTTTATACTCGCGTCCACACATGCAGGTGCGTATATGGGCTCGGTGCACATGAGCACTTACACGTCAGGGCGCGAGCCTTAGCTAAGATACGCGCCTACACGTGTCGGTGGTCATTTTTGACCCACTTTCCGGGGTTTGCCCGTTGTGCGTTTACGTGAACATCGCCGGGGCTCGGTTCTTGCGGACCACGCTCACGCTGCTCCTCCCTGGGTCTCTTCCCACAGGAGCAGCTGTGAAGCGGCTGTTGCTGTCTCTCCCTTCTCGACTGTCTGTGCTTGCTTGTGCGTCTTGGGCCCGGCGTTGTGTTTTTGTGTGGGCGGCTGCGGCAATAGCACAGAGACGCGGGCAATATACATGCGCATGGTCGATTACCCCGCCGCCCTCCGGCCCGACCGCGTCACCGTGATCGCATACGGAGCGCTGCTCTCCGAGCCCTCATCGCGGCTCACCTTCCCTTCCCTCACCAACTTTCGCCTCGTGAGAGTGCGCAACGTGCGCCGTCTGTTTGGGATGACGCACCTATTTCTAACCGGCGCTGGAGTGGTGGACGTTGCCACCCGCAGGCGTCTGCGCGCTCTGTTTTTCCACACGCGTCCACCATCACCTCTGACCTCGTCCGCCGCGCCGCAGGATCGCCGCGCTCTGCGTGGAGCCGGCGGAGGGGTGCTCCTTTGTCGCGGCCGCGTTTGACGTGGTGCTCGACGATGCGCAGCGCGAGGCCTTCTGCGCCAGAGAGACGGGCTACGCGATCGTCGAGGCGCCCTTTCACGGCCTGGATGCTGGCGAGGAGGTGCTTGACGGCCCAACTAAGCCCCTTTCCCTCCCATTAGCAGCTTGTCCGTCGTCCACTTATTTATTTATCACGAAGTCACGTTACCACCACTTCAGCCTCTCTATCGCACTTGGACAGCACAAGAGTCCACCTTGCGCAGGCGCCGCCGGCCGGGCTCGGCGTTCTTTGCGCCTCGAGCAGCGACGCGGAGCTTCCCTCTGGCGTCGAGCCTCCCGCAGGCCTGCCGCCGCGCGCCGGGAGTTGAGACGCCCCGGCCACGTCCCTCACGGGCAGACGCACGCGCCGCGAGTAGGCCTGCCCCACGTGTGGGGGTGGGCGCGCGATTCGGGCCTGCTGCCGGCCGACGTCTATCTGCGCCACTGTCTGCTAGCGATGCGCAAGCTGGGCGGCGTGGCGGAGCGATCCTTCCTGCACGACACGACGCTCGTCGACAGGCGAGCGCGCCGTGGACGAGAGAGCACGGCCTGCCCACACCGGCACGCGGCCAAGCGACGGAGCGGTGCGTCCCGATAGGCGCACCACGCTGAGCGAGTACCTCGCCGGCGGCGCACGCGAGCGCGTGATGGCCGTGCGCCCGCCAGAGTCGATGGCGGAGAGGTTCGGAGGTTAGACTTAGAGCTCTAGAGCTCGGGGTCCGGCTCGCCACTTGGGACATTTGGAGCCATTGGGCACTTGGAGCACTTGGAGTGCAGTCATTAGCCTCACATCCAGGGCCAGGGGGCTAAGAAGCACACCCAGCGGTCCGGATGATCGGGAAATAAATAAATAAACAAAGGAATAAATAAAAACGGTCAAACTCTGAGACGAGATGGGATTTAGGGACATGTGTCCCCGCGCTGCACGATCTTGGTGTGAGGGATCTTCAATCCGTCCCCTCACCCCCCTGGTCCGACTACCCGACACTAGAAGAGCAGTGCAAGAGTTGGGGCTACGGCTACGGCTGCGGCTGCGGGAGGGGCTATGGTTGCGGGAGAGCCGCTGCGCCGCGTGGGCGCGCCTACACCGCGCTTGCTCCGCTCGCCACCTCTCGCAAAGGTCCAAAGTCATAGCCATCACCTCCTCCGGCAAGATAGTCCTTTTCGCCTATCTCGCCGTCCCTCCATGCCTGGTAGAGCTCGTCGTCATAGCCATATTGCATCACAGCCTGCTGCACTGCGTCGTGCACAACCCCTGCCACCCTATCCCGCGCCTCAGCGTCGGAAAATTCGAGCTCGGAGTCATACCCGGAAGCAGGCGCAGGCGGCCGCGGCGATTTGCAGGCGGCGAGGTGGGGGAGGGAGAGCGCGGCGGTGCGCGCTCGGTGCTCCCGCTGGTGCCAGAAGGGCCAGCGCCCAATGCCCTCAGCCTGTTCTTGTCCACCACCTTGGGAGAAGGGGGTGGGGGTCCACCTCCCTTGGGTGCGGGCTTGCGGTGTTCCTGCTTCCGCTTGCCCGACTTTCGCGGGTTGCGGCCGAAGTTCTTCATGGTGAACCTGTCCGGCTTGCCGCCCTTCCCGACCCTCGTCCACCCCTCGGGCGACTCGTTGGGCCGGGGTTGCTGCGCCTGTTGGTGCTGCGAGTGTGCCTGCGATGCTGCGGCCGGAGCGGCAGCGGCGGCAGGCGGTGCCTCGGGCGGTGCCGCGGCGAAAGTGGCGGTAGGCTGAGGCTGCGCAGCGTCCTGCGCGGCCCGCTGCCTGGCCTCATCCTCCCGCCTCTTCTCAGACTTGGCCTGGATGATGTACTGATACCCAAGCGGCACCGGGTTGATGCTGACGGAGTGCCAACCGTACCTCTCCATGCGCTCCGCGAGACAATCAATCATCGCGTGGTCGCGTGGCGACACCTCTTCTGGCCGAGGACGCGCTCGACCATCCGGATCTGACGCACGTGGAACGGGTCATTGGTCTTCTCTTTTTTTCTCGTCTGCTACACGGCCACGCAGCTCGCCTCCGCGCGCCGGCAGCTCACCCTCCTCTGGGCCGAGCCCGTCTCCGAGGCCGTCCTCGTCGCCTTCAACGCCGAGGCGGACGCGTACAACTCGCGGCGCCCACAGGCCATGACAGGTGCTCGCTGCACGGCATCACACGTGAACGGCGTGCAGGTGCCGGGTCGACCGCGCCGACCGGCCGACGGCCCCAAGCCAGCGCCGACCGTCGTCCAGGAGGGCGCCGTGGTCGAGTTGAGTTCGGAGGGCTCCTGCAGCCCTCAGCCGCGGCCCCCAGTTTTTCTTCTTTCGTTGTGCCTCGTATGTATGCTTGAAACAAACGCAGGGCAGCGCAAGCCCGGCCTGTTATTGAGAAGAAATACACCAAATGTGTTCACAGAAGGGTGGTAAGAGACACAAGAGAACCTCGCATACGACGACAGTGAGGGTGTGAGAGACAAACCCAGGGAAGGTCTTACACTACCTTACAGCTTCACAGACATACAACTGTAGTGTTGCCCTGGCCTTCTGTCTGCCCGCCCAATGGGTGGCAGGTGCCAGAGTGTCGGCGGACAGCCGGCAGCAAGAAACCGCAGTGAGGTCAGTGTGAGTGAGCGGAGTTTTTGTGTGAGTGAGCGGACCGCCACTGCTGTACAAGACTCTAAAAGTCCGACGATGTGAAGACGACATTTCATCTCAACGAGGGGCACGTCACCGACATGTGTGAGATCGGCGGAGACCTGCAGTCCCAGCGCGATGTCCACTACGAAATCAAGGTGCCTAGCGCCCTCACAAAGACGAGGCAGGCTGGGCAGGGCTCGGCGGCACACGGCGGATGCTGTGCGTCACTGGGCCACAAATTTGGTTTCGGCGGCACCCTCGACCAAACCTTGCTCAAGGGTCTTGGGTGCAAAGAGCGCGGCCACAAGTCACAAGGGCCCGCTCGTCCATATGCGACCGGCAAAGGCTGGGTCAAAGAGCACAAGGGACAGTACTACAACGCGCTCCATGTCAAGAACGGAATCGTCAAAATTTGTCTCGTCGAAAGCCAGGGCGGCATCGCGCCGCCGACCAAGAGAATTATCTTCAACTTCGCCAAAGAGGTCGGCAGCCCGAGCGCCGTCGACCGCACCGACTACGGCACAGCCTCCGGCAGCGCCCGGGGCTTCGCCCAGCACCACTCGCAACAGCTCTCGCGCGCCGCCGTCTGTGGCGACGCGCAAAACATCAACAACGCTGCTCGCAACATGCGTGTCGCGCACTCATTCATGACCGGTCTCAATGCCCCCACCCCCCTGCGCGCGGGCCTTCTAGGCCCGCGGGTAGTCTCCCCCCATCCCCAGGGCCTCCAGGGCTCGCACCTCAACCTCGCATAGACCAGCGCACAGCGCCAGGGACGTATTTCCTTCTCAATAACAAGGCTGTGAACGGGCCGTCACCACACAGCGATGGAAAGCAGTCGCGGCAAGAAAGCCGGGGTGTATTTTCTTCTCGATACAAGGCTCTCCGATGTGCGTGTCTGTGGTGGGCCAGCCTCGGGGTCAGCTCGCTGACCTGCTCGAAGCTGGCGGCGACGTGCAGCAGCTCGCCGCGCTCGCGCAGTCCGGACAGCGCAGCGAGCTCTCTGCCGCGCTGGTCGCTCTCGGCTTCACCAAGCTCGGCCAGCGGATGCGGGTCGAGCGCGCCCTGCTCGCAGCTCCGCCTGCGGTGCCAGAGGTGGACAGTGCCGCCTTCTGGCTGGGCGTGGCCGACTCGAGTGCTCGCGCCGTGGACGGATCTGCGCCCAGCTGCAACTACGAGGCGCACGCCGCTGCAGTCGCGGCCCAGGCCTCCGAGGCGAGGCGGAGGGAAGCTGCCGCTGCGGAGGCTCACGCCGAGGCGGCGGCGGCGGCGGCGGCGGCGCGGGAGGCGGATACGGCGTGGCGGACGGACGGCGGCGTTGCGACCGCGCTGCGAAGCGGATTTCTCGCCGACGCCGGCGACGAGCTCGCCTCCGTCCGAGGCGCGTCCGGCGTCTCTGTCGCTCCAAAGACCGGAGGGCGGAGGGAGGCGAGCAGCAGCCGAGGGCGACTGTCTCCTCGCCTCGACACTGCCCCATACCCGCAGCCCTGCTCCTGACCCTAGGCGCGGGCAGAGGCGGCGGCGGCGGCGAACGCGGAGGCGCGGCGCGAGGCTGCGGCGGAGGCGCGCACGCTTCCCTTTCTGATGCCGAGCGGGCGAGGTGGTGGTGAGGGCGGCGGCGCCGGCGAGGCAGCTGCCGCTGCTGCGGAGAGGGCAAAGGAGGCGTCGCTACGAGACAACCCGCTCGGCCACGCTGGCGCAGGAGTGACGGAGCCGCGCCGCAACCAGTCCGGGCTTGGAGTGGTGCCAACCACGCTCCGGGTGAAGCCGCAGAGGATCGCTGCCGACCAGCCGACTCCTCTCGCGGGGGCCGTCACGGACGCGGACGCACGAGCGGCGACCGAGGAGGCCGTGGGGCGACTGGAGGGCAGGCTCGGCGCACAACGGGCCGCCGGAGCGAAGAAGGAGACACGGGCGGCCAAAGCTGCTGCCGAGACGGCCGGCAGTGGCAGCTGCAAGGCTGCCGATGACGCCTCCGCCTCCGCCGCTGCCTCCTCCACCGCAGCCGCCGAGTCGGTGGCGGAGGACGCGGACTCTCTGCGCGAGGCGGGCGGTGCCGCCTTCCGACGCGGAGACGCGGCGGCGGCGGAGCAGCTATGGGGCAAGGCGCTGCAGCTGTCGCCCGGCGACGCAGCTCTCACTCCCGACGCTCGAGGAAGCTGGTCGGAGCCTTCTTGGAAGCTACCTATAGGCGACGCGACTCTCCTCTCCAACCGCTCCGCCGCACGACTCGCGACGGGCGACGCGCGTGGCGCGCTCGACGACGCGCTCGCCGCCGTCGCCTCCGCGCCAGCGTGGCCAAAGGCTCGCGGGCGGCACGCGGCGGCGCTCTCGGCGCTGGGGAGGACCGAGGGCGCGCTGGAGGCGTGCGCCGCCGGCTTGCGTCTCGACCCGTCCGCGCCGTACCTTCGCTCCGAGTTCGCCCGCCTCAAGCAGAGGGCCAGGGCGGAGGGGTTGCCCCTACCTGACGTGCCGCTCCCGCCCCCGCCGCCGGGTGCCGCCGCCGCGCCGGCCGCCGCCACCAGCGGTGCCGCCGTCGCTGCAGGAGGCGGCAAGGCGGTGACAGAGAGCACGTCGCCGCCCGCCGCCGCTACTTGTGCGGCCGACCAAGGCTTCGGCGGCGGCGGCAGAGGCGGGGGAGGAGGCGGCGGCGGCGGCGGCGGTGGTGGCAACGGCAACGGCAGGGAGAGTGCCCTCGGCTTGGGCGGCGTCGAGTACGCTAGGGAGGCTGTGCGGCTGGGCCGACCAGAGACTGCGGTGCGCATACTGGACCGCGAGATCGGAGGCGCCTCGACGGACGCACGCCTCTACCTCGAGCGGTGCAACGCGCTGGTGTCACTCGGCGAGCACGGCCGCGCCCTCGAGGATGCGCACACGGCGTCGTACCTCGCGCCGAAGATGCCGGCGGGGTTCCTGCACAAGGGCAACGCGCAGATCGCGCTGTGCGACCACGACGGCGCGATGGCGACCTTCCAGCTCGGCTGCGTCGCCAACCCGTCCGACAAGGAGCTGCGCGAGGCGTGGTTCAGCGCAAAGGAGATGTGCCGCACCTGGCGGCGGGCGGGCAAGATGGCCCTCGGAGGAGAGCGCGCGCGCATCCAGGCCTTCGAGGCAGCGCGCGAGCCGTGCCTCTCCCAGGTCTCCGGGCTGGCGAGGGCGGAGGACCGCGCGGCGGCGCTCAAAAACCTGGCGCGGGTGCACGTCAAGTGGGGCCGCCACACCGAGGCGCGGACGCTGCTCGACGCCGCAGTCCGCGAGGCAGTCCGCTGACAGGCGCCGCGTGTCCTGCGAACAACGAAGGCTGTGAGAGGAGGAGATCTGTCAACAGGCGCCCGCCGACATGCACTTGCGGTACGCGCGCGCCGAGGCCAACATGGCACTCGAGGAGCCGCGGCGGGCGCTCGAGGACGCGGCGGCGGTGACGGCAGCGCGGCCGGGCTGGTTTGACGGCCTCGACTTGTGTGCCAAGGTGCACGCGCGGCTAGGCGACTGGAAGGCGGCGCTGCCTCTGTGGGAGGAGTGCCACTCGCAGCAGCCGCACAACCCGGCCATTGAGATGGCGCTCGAGCGGGCGCGCGTCGAGGTCGCGCCGCCGGAGGAGCAGCAGCGGGAGGCGAGCGACGCAGCGCCGCGCAGCGGCGGAGGCGACGACGACGACGACGAGCAGCAGCCGGGCGGCGGCGGCAGGGGCGGCAGGGGCGGCGGCGGCGGCGCGGGCGGCGGCGCGGGCGGCGGCGCGGGCGGCGAGGCGACAGCGGAGGAGAGGGAGGCAGCGCGGAAAGCTGGTGCGCTGAAGGGCTTGGCGCAGCAAGCCTTCGAGCGGATGGACTCGAGGCGCGCGCTGTTGTTGCTCGGGGAGGCGATCGGCCTCGCGCCGGGCGAGGCACACCTCTGGTCCCTCCGCTCACGCGTATACGAGGGGGTCCACCGCTACGCCGACGCGCTCTCGGACGCGCAAGAGGCGATCTGCCTCGCTCCCCAGTGGAGCCGCGGCTACTTGCGGGCCGGCCGCGCGCTGGTGCACCTCGAACGGTACGACGAGGCGCTGCAGGCGCTCCCCCCCCCCCCCCCCTCCTCCCCTCTGAGCGAGCACCGCGTGGAGCCCTCCCTGAGCCGTCTCGGAACCCTCCTCCGGGCGCTCGAGCTCGGCCTGCGGGTGGAGCCCTGGCATGTCCATGACATGTCCGAGACATGTCCCACCAGGCGCTCGAGCTCGGCCTGCGGATGGAGCCCGCCAACCAGAAGATGAAGGACGCGGCCGAGCACGCCACCTTCCTGCTGCGCACGCAGCGCGCCGAGCAGCGCGCGCTCGCCTCCAACCGCGCCGGCGGCGTCGACTTGCTCGGCATCCAGCGCGGAGGCTGCCGCTGCAAGGGGTGCGAGTGCGCGGGGTACGTGCAGCGGCACACGCCAAACGCGGTGCACTTGCTCGGCCGCGGCTACGTTCGGCACGACAACAAGCCAGAGCTGCTGCGCTGCTTGCGGTGCGGCCACGAGGCGTACATGCACCGCGACATGCGGCTGATCAAGCCCGACTCGAAGCCGGGCCCAAAAAGCCAGCGCGCGGCGGAGCAAGCGCGGCGGGAGGAGCCCACGAGGAGCGGCGATCTGAACTTTCCCTGAACTGTCCGGAGCTTTCCTGCAGGCGCGGCGGGAGGAGTACGAGGCGGCGACGGCGGAGCGGCCTGTCCCCCACACGAGCAGCGGCGCCCGCGGCGGGCTTGGTGGCTCGTACTACTATGGCGCCGTGCCGGCAGGCGAGCGCACGCTTCCCGTCGAGCCGCCGCGCAAGCTGTCGCAAGAGGAGCTGGCGCACACCGCCGCGCAGACAGGTTGCGGGGGCGGAGGAGGGGACGCCGCTGCGGGTGGCTCGGCCGCTGCGGCGGTGCTTCTCGCGCGCAGCACCACACGCCTTCGCCAAACCGTCCCTAAGCCTTCTCGGAACCTTCCCTGCAGGTGCCGGGCGTAGGCTACTACTACGCGCACGGGCGGCGTGTGGATTACGCGGCTCCGGCAGTGCCGAAACGGCTAAATCCGGACGGCTCCCTCGCCGACTGGTCGCCGACGGTTTCCGCGGAGGCGCGCGGAGGCGGCGGAGGGGCGGGCGTTGCGGCGGGCGAGGGCGGCAGCAGCTTGCTGGTCGAGCTGCGACGGAGCGGCGCCGATGTGGACAGGCTGCGCGCCTTGGCGCGCGCGGTGGCGGGCGGGGGCAGCGACCCCCTTGTTCGCGAGGAGCTGGCGGCGCTCTTGCGCGAGTTTGGGTTCGTCAAGCTGGGCCAGCGAAAGGCGGTGGAGGCTGCGCTGCTGGACGAGGGCGTACGTGAGTAAGCAAGGAGGTCGAGCGAGACCGTCTACGTCTGCCTCGCGAACGCGCGCCGCATTTGAGGCTACAGAGAGAGAGAGCGCCCAGAGTCCAGAGAGGTGCGTCTCCTCGTGCAGGCGGCGGCGGTCGCGTTTTTCTCGCCACCTCGCCTTCCCAGGCCGCACCCTTGACGTCGTTGTTCACTCAAGTGTCAAGAAAAAAACTTGGCCAAGACGCAAGCACAGACAAAAACTTCAGTAGGAAGATTCACAGACCCTCAACGGGAAGAAAACACGGCCGGCAGCCCGGCTAGCGCCGCATTTAGATTGGCCGTTTGCACGTCGCCCGCACCCAAAAGGGGGCGCGCTCGTATTGCCCGCCCCCGCCCGCCGCTGCTATTCCTGCCTGCCATGCCGTCCAATGCCGGGCCACCGCGCCTGCTCGACCTGCCGGCCGACATCCGGCACCAGGTCCTCTCCCTCTGCTCCGCCACAGACCTGCTGTCGGTCTCGCGGTGCTGCCTCGAACTGAGTGCTGCCGCCAAGGCTCCGGAGCTGTGGGCCCAGCTGCTGCAGCGGCACCACGGGGTGGTGCTCGACGCCTTTTTCGAGGGCGCTGCACCGCCACCGCCGCACGGATCGACCTGGCAGCGCCACTTTTTTCACTTTGAGCGGACGTGGTTGCTATTGGCCCGCGCTGAGACCGGACGGATGCTGCTTCGGATGCGGTCCGAATGCGCCGCGTCGAGCCCTACCTATCTGGGCGTGCCGCCCCCGGCCGTCGAGCGGGCCTTCACGCTACGCCTCCCCCTCCTCGGCCTCCACCTCCCCATCCCACTGTGGCTGCAGCAGCCGGCGCCGACCTATGGAATCTTTGACGCGACAGACTTTGCGGTGCCCGCCGCGACCCGTGCCGCTCACCCACAGCGCGTATTGCCCCGCGTACCGCACCGGGCTTCTCCACACCCAGCGTCCGCACCGCCGACCTGCGTCTGCACACCTTCCCAGGCTTCAAGCTGCCCCTCTCCACCGCGCTTCCCTCTCCTCTGCATAGGCGCGCCATCCGGGGACCGAGCTGCTGCTCGCCGAGGCGGCGGCCGAGGACGACTGCACCGCACGCTTCGACGCCGCTTCTCACTCCGAGCGAGCGAGAGCGGTGCTCCGCCGGCTCGTGGTTCCTGGTCTCGAGGCAATGCCCGTGCCGCGGCCGCCGCCGGCGAGGCGGCGGGAACTGGCGAGGGTGGTGCTGTTTTTCTACCGCCAGCTGCACGGCTCGGAGGTGCAGGCGACACTGCGCGGCGCTGCTGAGAGGGCGGCGGGCTGGCCCAGGGCTTGCATGCGGTTCTTGGCCTTCGCCGCCGCCGAGAGTAGGCAGGTGGAGCAGTCCCCTCGAGTCCCCGCAGAGGCATGCAGTCTGCGAGGGCCCGGGTGAGCCAGACCATTAAGGGAGAGAATGCTGTGGAGTGAATAGCCCCTGTGGTTGTGAGATTTCGGCGCGCCGTGAATACGCCGCATTTTGGCGTTACTTGGTAGGTTCTGGGGAGTGGTTTTCGCATGACTGAGTTGAGAGAACGCTGCGACGACTACGAGGACGCGCCGGTGGCATGAAGTTTTCGGAGCGGCTCGAGGCGAACAAGCGGCCAAAGTGGAGCGGCCAGTACATTGAGTACAAGGCGCTCAACGACCTCATCGATGCGATCGTCGAGCGTGGATGCGAGAGCGAGGATAACGAGGCGCAAGAGGCGGCGCCTGCGCGGGAGGAGCGGTCGGCATGTGCTCCTCTGCTCTCGAGTGAGCAGCCCAGCGCCGCGCGCGAGGCGCTGCCGGCTGCCGGCTCGGCCGGCGCGAGTCCGTCTCGCTCGCCGGCCCGCTCGCGCGCTGCAAGCCGGCCACAGAGTCCATTTGGCCGGTCGGGCTCTGTGGTGTCGCTGGTGGAGATGGTGATGAAGCGGCGGGTGCGGGCGGAGGACTTCACTGGCTGCGTGCTCGCCCAGTCGGACAAGGTCGAGGCATTCTACTGCGCCACACTCGCCTCGGTGCGTGAACACGGCCGCCGCCTCGCTCGTCAGAGTTGCCTGGACTTCTTGCATTTGCCTTCACTCTGTGTGTGCTCCCGGCATGAGAGAAGCCTCCGCGAACGCTCCCGGCGAGCCGTGCCTCGCAGGTGCGCGAGCAGCTCGCGCTCTACCTGCCCGAGCTGCAGACCGAGGAGGCGGACGGCGGCGGCCGAGACCTCGAGACGCCGCGAGAGCCTGAGGCGCAGGGCGGCAGCCGGCAGCGCCTCGCGGACGGCAGCTTCGCGGGCAGCCTGCAGATACCCTCGCCGCCGCCCGACGAAGGCGACTCTCGCCCGCCGTCGCGCTTGCGCAACTGGGAGGAGATGGCGCACGGGCGCGAGTCGCTAGATGTTGCGACATGCTAGCTGCCGCGATTCGCGTGTTCCACCGGCGCTGGAGGAGACACGCGTTCGGCTGTGTTCAGCTTTGCTGCAGCCGTGTGCATTGTGTTCGTGGCCGCTGTATTCACGCGATGCTCTGGGACACACTGCTCGACGCACCGCTCTCACACCCTTTCGCTCGCGTACATGCATCAGGCGCGACTCGCTGCAGCGTGCCGTCTCGAGCTTGCACCCCGCGACGCTGCAGCAGCTGCCGCAGCTGCCGCAGCGTTTCACACCTCCCGCCTGCGAGCAGGTACCGCGAGCTGCAGCATCTGCGCAACTACTGCATCCTCAACTACACCGGCCCTCGCCAAGATCCTCGAGCAGCGCCGAGGTGCACCCGAGATCACCACGAGAGTGTCCGAGATTAGGCCTCGTCAAGATCCTCAAGAAGCACGACAAGCGCGTCACCGGCGCCGCGGGAGGAGGAGGCTGGCGGCCAATCTCGTATCACTTCGGGCGATCTCGGGTGATCTCGGGCGATAGGCGCCGGGAGGAAGCGGCTGGCGGCCAAGCCGCTGCTGATGGCGCACGTGCACACCCCTCTGCTTTTGCCGCAAGACGAGGTGCGGGCGGCGTCTCTGCACACCTCTGGCCTTTGTGAGCAGGTGAACACCCTCTCCTTCGTCGCGCACGACGAGCTCAAGCGGATCGAAGCGCAGATCGAGCGAGGCTACGCCGCCGCATTCTGCGACGCCAACGTGCAGGTGGCGGCGAGAGGTCGGCGCGAGATCTCGGCTCCATCTTGGCCTCCCTCTGTCCATCACTTCGGCTGCATCTCCACCTCACCCCTGTCTCCCCCACACCTCCGCTGTGATCTCCTCGAAATCTCCGACGTCTCAGGTGGCGAGGGCGGAGCTGCTGGTGCGGCGGGAGCGAGGCGGCAGTGCGACACAGCGAGGCGTCGCCGTCAGCTCGCCGCCGGGCGGTGCTAGGGGGCGTCTCTTCACACGCGCGCTGCTGTGAACAGGCCTCGCCCTCGGCCTGAGGCTGGGCGTGGCTGCGGTGCTCGCGACGTGGCTGTTCTGGGATTTGGTGGTCGGCACGCGTCGCAGCTCGAGAGTGCGTCCAGCAGGTCTTAGCTGGCCCATGACTCCTGACTAGGTGGTCGACACGCGCGTGCTGCCGCTCCCGTCTGCGCGGAAGGCCGACTTGCAGTACGCGGTGCTCCTCGGCCAGCCCTTGTGCCGCTTCCGCCTCATTCCATGAGTGACGAATGAGTCGCGGCTCCCAGGTGATTTTCCACCTGCCCGTGTACCGCCTCTCCCTCGCCGTCGCCTCCTGCTTCTACCTCTGGGCCGCCGCTTGCTCCGTGTGGAAGAGGGCGCGCGTCAACTACCTCTTCCTGTTCGAGCTGCGAGACGACGAGGCGCGCGACCGGGCGCTAGTCGACGACTAGTCGAGGAGAGCTGTCACGAGTGAATTGCGATGATCAGGTCCTCGATCCGGGCGCTGCCCTCGCGCTGGGCACGCAGCAGCTGACCCTCTGCCTCCTCTCGCTCCTCCTCTTCTCGAAGTGCATGCTGTCGGAGCTCGACCTCGACGCGTCCCTCTTCCCGGCCCCCGCCCCCTCCTCCCGGTGGGATTCGCCTCTCCGAACCTTCTCAGAGCCGCTTCGGAACCCTCCCATAGGTCCTTCTCTTCCTCTCGATGGCCTTCACCCTCACCACGCCACACCTCGGATGGTGGCGGCGCGGCTACACCGCCTCTGGCTTCCTGCGCGCCCTCGCCGCCGCCTTCACCACGCCTGCTTCTAGGGGCCCTCTAGGAGCCTTCCCGGGGCCTCGCCATAGGCGCGCCCTCGCCGCTTTCTTCAGCACGCCCTTCTCGCCCGTCTCGCTGTGGTCGTCCTTCGTCGGGGACATCGTCACTTCGCTGGTGCGTCCGCTCGTCGACCTCGCCTACTCGAGCTGCTACGTCTTCTCGGGAGAGTGGCTGCGCCGGCCAGACAGGCAGGGCTCCTGCCACGCGGCCATCTGCGGCGCCTCGCCCGGGAATGCCCTGCTCACCGCCCTGCCGCTCTTCTTCCGCTTCCTGCAAAACCTGCGCGCGCCGCTCGAGGGGAGCCCGCGACCACCCGCGAGTACCTGCGAGTACCCGCGAGTACCCGCGATCATAGGCGCGTGGCGCACGACACGAGGAGGCGCGTGCCCGCGCTGCCAAACGCCCTCAAGTATGCCTTCGCGCTGGGGGTCGTCTCCCTCGAGGCCTGCTGGACGCTTCCGGGCCCTTGCTGTCTGTAGGTACGCCGTCGCGCTGCTGGTCGTCCTCTTCGGCGCGCTCCACCCCGCCGTCTCTTCGGGGCAGCGGCTTCGCACGTCGGACTACAACCCGTGGGTGCAGTATGCTTGGCTCGCCGCCTACCTCGGCGCGACGCTCTACGCCTTCCTATGGGACGTCGCGATGGACTGGCGGCTGGTGGAGATGTCGCAGCTCGCGTGCTGCCGCTGCGGCGCGGGCCGGCTGAGGGAAGAGAGGATGGTCTTCCGCTCGCACCGCGCCTACTACGGCGCCATCGCCGCCGACCTCGTCCTCCGCTTCGGCTGGGCCGCCACGCTCGCCGCCGTGGGGGCTGTGGACAGCGCCTCTTCACGCCTGCCGGTGTGATTAGGCTGGACGGCCACCCTCGCGCCGGGGCTGATCACCGCCGTGCTCGAGGAGCAGATCCCGCGCTACCACCACCACCACCACGCTCACGCCCCGCCCCCGGCGTCGCCCGACTGGCTGCACGAGACGCTGCAGCACGCGACGCCCGCGTCCGAGTTCCTCGCTTGGGCGCTGCAGACCCTCGTCATCGGGCTCGAGCTGGTGCGGCGCTGCTTTTGGGCGGTGCTGCGGCTGGAGGCGGAGCATCTCTACAACACCGAGGGCTTCCGGCGCATCGACAACGTGCCGATGCATTTCGACCGCAAGGCGCAGGAGGAGCGGCCGGAGCTGGAGCCGAAGAGCCGCGTGCAGCTGCTACTCGAGTTGGGCTCGTACCTGCTGCTCCTCGCCGCACTCGCGACGCTGTCTGCCGTCACGAGGGGGTTAGAGGGGGGCTCTCCGGGCAGCCCGTCGCCGTAGCACTCCGGACCAACGTTTAATCCAGCTCGTGCGCCCCGGTGCGTGGGTGAGGGAGTCGGTCGAGTGAGACCCCGTGTTGGCGGTCTCTCCCGCGCCGGGCGCGGGCTCACACACGCCACACGCGCCACACACATGCGGTCACGCACGCGCCGAATCACGGGGGCCGCGCGACTGGGAGGGCGCCGTCGGGTGCGGACACCAAAATTGCCGTGGCGCCGGTGAGTGGTGTTACTACATTTGCACTCCACTCAAGAACAACAACACAAATTCCGCGGCAGGGCGCCCGCCGGCGGAAAAAGTGTGCGCGGAGCCGCGGAGAGCGAGAGAGAAAACACACCACTGCAAGTCGTACGTGCGGGTGCACATCTCGGTTGTTCAGCCCGGGGGTGAGAGCGGGCGCTCTCGAATTCGATCCCGTGCAGAGCCCCTTCGCCCTTGCATGCAAGCGGAGGAGTTTGCTCACGCTTGTCCAGGCGGACCGGCGGTGCAGCTGGCAGGTGTCCGCTGCGAGAGGCCGACGCCGCGGAAGAGCGAGGAGGCAGCGCGCATGGCTGTTGGCTCGCCGAGCGGGAGCACCTGTCCACACGAAACAAGTGTGAGGATCGTCTCGTGCCATTGTGAGGAGCGCTAGATGACCTCGTTGTAGAACCACGGGACCGTGCCCTGAATGGGTGCGTTCATCAGCACGCGCGCAAACCACTTTGGCATCGTGAGGAAGGCGCCGACGCCCTCCGCCTTGAGGCCCTCCCTCAGCACGGCGCCATAGTTGATGCTCCTGCCGCCTGTTCATAGAGGACCGGGATGAACAAGCGGCGCCGCATGCGGAGAGAAGTGGATACTCGTCCCGCCGTTGACAGCTCCGTAATCGAGTGCGCGGCCCCACAGCGCCTGCTGCGTGATTGCGATCACGTTGCCGAAGAAGATGTTTGTCCCTAGAGCCGAGGTACAAGCTGGTGTGGCCAAGATTGCGAGGATCGCTTGCTGCTGAGATGAGAGCGTCGCGCCGAGGCCGAACCAGAAGAGCGACGCCTGGCTTTTGCGCTCTTGCGGGAAGTAGCGCTGGTAGAGCGTGGGAGTGAGGACGAACGAGGTGGCCGACATGACGAAGTTGCGCGAGGCGTTGGCGACGAAGCCGGGGCCGCAAGCGCGCGCGATCGGACCCCAGCCGAGCTTGGTCTCGATGGCAGCCAGTTTGGGCAAGCCGTGGAAACGCTGCGCCTCGGCGCGGTTGGCGACGACGGACTCTATGGTACCGGCGAGCGCGGGGGCCAGCACCGCCTTGGCAGCCACCCTCGCCTGCTCTGACACACTGAGCGCTACCGCCGCCGCCTCCGCCTTTGGCGGCTGCATCAGCTCCTCCCCATACACCACTCGCGGGACACCCATTGCAGAGGAGAGGGCGCGGTCGCAGGTCTGAAAGATGAAGCCCATCACCGAGTACTGGAAGAACCAGGCAGCAATGGAGGCGCGTCCCACCGTCCGGAATGGCGTCGCAAGCCCCTCCTTGAAGACGATCCGGAAAGCCTGTGTCGGAGGGGAGAGGCGGAGGGGAGAGGTGGCGATAAGCGGCGGTGAGGGCAGTGGCGGTCAGGGAGGCGCGGTATCTCACCTGGCCGAGCTGGCCCGATCCGGAGACCTGCGACGAGTTCATCACCATCGCAATCTTCTCGAGCGGCACCTGGAACAGGAGCGACGCAGAGGTCGGAGCTGCGTTGGGAGATGGTGGGTGTCATCACGGGCCAGCAGACCGTCGAGTAGCGAACGACAACAGCGTAAATTCCGAGGCCAGCTGAGCGGTAAGTCATCTGCGCTGCAACGCGTGAGGACTCGGGCAGCGCATCCTCCGACGGCTGCTGCGTGTAGAGGCGCGGAGGCGACGGCATGCTGACAATAGGAACAGCGGCCGGCGCTGCCGCAAGCTCGTAACTTCGGAGCCGGACCCGGAGCTTCCGACACCGAGAACCCTTTTCCCTGACCCTTGGCTTTTTGTGTGTCTCTCTCTCCGCGTACGGTGGAAACCGCTTTTCGCTGTCTCGCCGACGCCGAGGCTCGCGCCAGCATCTCGGCACTCGGGTCAAATGCATGCTCAATGCACAGACATCAGACTTCTCCCTCCGCGCTCCGGCCCCGCCCCCCACTCTCCGTCCTCCTCCTCCTCCCCTCCCTCCTCCTCCTCCCCTCCCTCCTCCTCGCCAACGTCATCCACCTCTCCGTCCTCGGCTTCTCTCGCCGCCAGCATCCTCAGTGCGAACTCTGAGTTGAGCTCCCCTCGATCCCTCCGCTGGCACACGGCCTCCTCTCGCTCGGGCCGTAAGAGCCGATCCGGACCTGCACTCTCTCCAGCCAGCCAAAGAGCAAGGGGCGGGCGCGCCGGTAGCTGAGGCTGGGTCGAGGAAAGACACGTAAGAATTTCATAACGGATCCAAATGAGGCCACTTTCATCTTGCCCATCATCTGTGCGCCTGCTGTGCGCCCGCTCCTCGCCGGCTGCTCCTCGCCATGGCTCCGCCGCTCCTTGGCCGGCGCGTCGTTATTGGCGGGCTTTCATCCGGCCTGAACGGGCGGCAAGGAGTGGCGGTGCGTTTCGAAGGAGGCCGCTACGTGGTTGCAATCGACGGCTTTGGCGGGAGCCTTCGGCTTCGACCGGAGAATGTGTCGGCTCCGCCACCACGGCCGCCACCAACCCCACCACCTTCCGCGCTGAAGCCGCTTCCGGCGGCGGCTCCACAGACCGTCCATCAGGAGCTCTCGTCGGCTCACTTCAAGGCGGCCAAGAAGCGCCTGTCCGTCGCCGCAAAGGCGCTGTCCGACGGCGCCCTCGGAGCCGTGAAATGCGAGTACGAGAGCATCCTCGACATGCTCGAGAATCAGCTGCCTCGGCGAGGAAAGAGCTTGGCTGGCGATCGCGCCGCCGACGAGTTTGTTGGAGAGCGCCTGTGCGACAAGATGGAGGCGCGCGGCATGCCGGCTCGCAAGCAGGCTGGCCTGCAGGCTGTCGCGACATGCCGCGCGCATGTGAGGGGCGGGCCCGATGGCGAGCCGCTGCCCATTCCTGTCGATTGATAATTAGTCCGCAAGCGCATTTTGCGCCCTGCGTCAGGGCTCAGGGGGCCAGCCGGTCGTGAGGTGTCTAGCGACAGGCCCCCACACCCCGGCGCCGACCGCCGAGGCGGGGTGGACTCTTCCTCTACAAGAGCGAGAGATAGAGTCCTCCGCCTACCGTGCGAGCCTGGCCCCAAGTGCCGTACAGAAAAGTTTTTTGAAATCTGCTGGCTATATCTTTTACCTTCACCGCAAAACCGCGCACATCCTACCTTTTGAGTTTTGACTGCAGCCTGGGGCCAGCTCTCGACAGCTCTAGCGCTCAACACGCGCTGTGTGTTTGAGTCCGCTTCACTCCACTCTCGACGCAGCGCGTGTTTGGCACACACCCTCACGCCAATCATCTCACCTCTCACCGGAAGTGACACGCGTGCACCGGCTCCTCCGCCGACGGGTCAAACGGCACCAGCACCGACAGCGCCGCCTCGTCAGCCGCCTGTCATCAGCGAGCTCATCGGTGAATCATCTCGCTCGCTTGGCGACGGCGCCGCATCGCCCGCCACCGTCTCGACGTGGTGCCAGTAGTAGGGCGGCGTGTAGAGCGCGTCGCCGGGGGAAAGCGTCGCGTGCCACGCCGTCGCCTCGGCGAAGCAAGGGTGCGCCTACCCACACCGTTCGACTGCCTTGCATCTCCGCATTCTTTGATCTGGCCGTCGCCTCGGCGGAGCTGGCGCGCGCCGCCCTCTCGGCGCGTCCCGCGGCGGTGCCCTCTGCCCCCTCGCCGCCCTGCCTCCACAAGTCCAGGTCCACCTGTTCACAGCCGCTACGCGTGGAGCAGGCGCCGTTCCAATGGAAGCCACCGCACACCAGCTCCTCACTTGTGATAGCTCTGGCTGGTTGGCCCGCGGATAGAGCGCTCGGAAGTCGCCCGGCGCAAAGTACGTCACGCGCTTGGTGCCGCGCACGCCGATCAGGAAGCCTGTTCACACCTGGCGGTGTGAAGCGGCGCTGCTCGCAAACTCGGTGCCGCGCACGCCGTTCAAGGACGCCGTGGCACAAGTCGTAGTGCAGTGGTGTGACGCAACCGGCACTTCCGAGCCACACGCCGCAGTTTGCCTCCTTGAACTCGCCTGGCCGCCAGCCATGCCCTCCCCCTTCGCCACTGGCCGGCGTGTCTGCTCCTCCTCCTTCCATTCTACCGCCTCCTCCTCCACCCTCTCCACGACCACCTCCATCGCCGCCGCCGCAACCGCCGCCGCCGCGACCGCCGCCGTTGACGAGCTCCGCAAGCCGTCGCAGCGACACCTACGACAACGTCGCTCGACTCACGTAGAAGAGGCTCGGCCAATCTCGGCCAATCTCGCGGCGAGACCTCGCTGCGTAGCCCGCTGCGGAGTGGTGCGCGCGCGTACAGCCTGGCGGGAGGGGGCGGCGAATCCGCTGCAGCAGGCAGCACCCTCGAGGAGCCCGCGGCGGCAAAGAGCCGGTCGGCGACCTGGCGGAGATTCGCACACATTCGCCGAGGTTCGCCGAGATTCGCCGAGAGTTTGCAAAGCGCCGGCCTGCGCAAATGGCCACTGCTCCTGGGTGCAGTCGCGCTTGAGGAAGCGGCGCCCGTCACCGGCGCGCAGGACCGTCACGCTCTTGCCGGGGAGGAGGCCGCGCAGGTGCTCGACGTCGAGCCAGGCGGAGACAGCCGGCCAGTCGTTCGCAAAGCCGCGCAGCAGCACCGGCCGCTTGTGCCGGAACTTCGCTGCGAACTCTCTGTGTGAGAGGTGGTGGCGAACCTCGACCTGCGCGCCGCGCCGACCCGAGGCGCCGCCAAGCACCTCGCCCTCCTGCTCCTCCACCACCACCTCGTCTGCCGCCACCGCCTCTGCCTCCGCCTCATCCGCCTCTGACTCTCCTCCGAGAATGGCAGAGAGGCCATCCCAGTCGGCAGAGGAGACGGAAGAGCTCCGCTCGGACCGCTCCGGTCGCAGATGGAGGGCGTCGGCGGCTGCTGCTGCAACGGCTGCGGCGGCCGCGGCCGCTGCGGTGGCGGCGGCGGCGGCGGCTGCAGCCGCTGTCGCCGTCGCTGCCGCCGCCGTCGCTATCGTTGCGTCGGCCGGCTCTGCTGCCACGGCGATGGCAGGAACAGCGAGCGCCGGGACGATGACGGCGGCAGCTCAGCGGGCGGAATCCTCCTCGACCGCGGCGTCTGCGAGCGTGACACCTTCGACGACATGGCCTGACACCTTCGATTCGGTCTTCGATCGCCGGCCGGATTTCTTTTACATTTAGAAAGAAAGGCGGGAAAAATTCTTTTTTCGCGATGTCTACCCCGTCGGCCGCTCGCGCCGCCTCGCCGGCGTCGCCGCCGCCGCCTCCTCCACCGCGCCCTCGCCAAGCACGCCGCCGCCCGCCCGCCTCCTCGACCTCCCCAGGGAGCTCCTCGTGCGCTTCCTCTCTCGCTGCGACCCCGCCGACATCGCTCGCGTCGCGGCCGTCTCGCTCCTCTTCCACTCCTCGCTTGCGGAGGAGGGCATCCGTTTGTGGGCGCAAGAGCGCGGCTTCGAGCTGCCGGCGCAGCCAGAGGGCGAGAGCTGCGCCGTGCGGTGGCTGTGCGTTTCTGCGTTGGTTCGCGAGTCCAACCCGCCGGCGAGGGCGGCGGGATGCCAGTTCCACAGCGTCTTCATCGACGGCGAGGGGCGGCTCTCGTCGTGCGGCTCGGCCCCTTCCTACCTCCCCCGGCCAGGGCTGCTCGGGCACGGCGAGGGCGTGACACGGCTCAACACGCCGACCCGCCTCCCGTCGACGCTGGGTGGTGAGCGCGCCGTGAGCGTGGCGGCTGGAGATGCCCACAGCCTCGCCCTCACAGGCAGCGGCGCCGTTTGGAGCTGGGGCAGTGGAGGCTTGTGCGCGCTGGGCCACGGCGACGAGGGAGATGAGCTTCTGCCCAAGAAGATCGAGGCCTTTGCTGGCCAGCGCGTCGTCACTGTGTCGGCTGGGGACCGCCACAGCCTGGCCCTCACCGCCGACGGCGCCCTCTGGAGCTGGGGCTTTGGAGGCGACGGCCGGTTGGGCCACGGCGACACTCAGCACCAGCTGCTGCCTAAGAAGGTCGAGGCGTTGGCAGGGCAGCGCGTTGTCGCTCTGTCGGCGGGAGGCGACCACAGCCTCGCCCTCGCCGCCGACGGCAGCGTCTGGAGCTGGGGCTATGGATACCTTGGCCAGCTGGGCCACGGCGACGTGCAGAACCAGCTGCTGCCCAAGAAGATCGAGGCCTTTGCTGGCCAGCGCGTTGTCGCTGTGTCGGCGGGAGGCGACCACAGCCTCGCCCTCGCCGCCGACGGCGCCGTCTGGTCCTGGGGCTGGGGAGACTTTGGCCGGTTGGGCCACGGTGACACGCAGCACCAGCTGCTGCCGAAGAAAGTCGACACGTTGGCAGGGCAGCGCGCCGTCGCTGTGTCGGCTGGACGCCGACACAGCCTCGCCCTCACCGCCGACGGTGCCGTCTGGAGCTGGGGCTGGGGAGCCTTTGGCAATCAGGGCCACGGCGACCAGCAGGAACAGCTGCTGCCCAAGAAGCTCGAGGCGTTGGCGAGTCGGCGCGTCGTCGCTGTGTCGGCTGCAGCCGTGCATAGCCTCGCCCTCACCGCCGACGGCGCTGTCTTTGCTTGGGGAAAGGGCGATAGCGGCTGCCTAGGACACGGAGAGGACGTGTCCAACCAACTGCTGCCCAAGAAGGTCGAGGCGTGGGCGCCGTGCAGTGAGGTGCCTGCATACCGGTAGTTCCTAGTTGGACAAGGCTCCGAGCCACCAGGATATTGAGCGTATGAGATAAACCCGAATCTGATGATGCCATCGGCCAGCCCTTCGAGTTCGCGCGGATTTCGCGAACTCCGAACTCGAACGAACGCAGCCGGCGGGGCCCAGCCCGAACCTCGAAACTGAACGGACCGCGCCGGCTGTGGAAGGCGCGAACTGCGAAAACGAACGAACGTTCGTGAACTCCGTTCGAACTAGGAAAAAAAGAAAATCATCGGCAGGAATTCGTTCGTTCGCAGCATCCACGAGCCGCGCTGAACGAACTCGCGCAACTGCCTCTGCGCGTGCGGACGCGGGTCTGGCCCTCAATCTCAGGTGCCCATATACACAGGCGGCACTAGCACAGTTCTGACGGTCCGCGACAGTCTGCAATCTAGCGGACTACGGGCGCGACTACCCCGGTGCGCCGCCGCCCGCCGCGGACCATTCGGCCCACGGCGGCTCCGGCCGCTACCTGCTCAAGGTCGGCCCATCGACCCGCCCACCCCAGAGCGGTTCCCGCAGCTGGACCGCTCCGAGGACTAGGGTCCCGATGGTGCCGGCTGCGCTGTGAGCAGGGCCGCCCTGTGGTGCCTGGGCGCCGTGCGTGCTGACTGGCGAATAGAATGGGGGAGACGGGGGCTCCCCGAGGCGTCCAGGCATACTAGGCCTCTAGTAGGCAACCAGGGACTATACAGGCCTGCAGAGCCAAAAAATACATATTGCGGTTCGTTCGCGGTTCGTTCGCAGTTCAGACGAACTTCCCTGGTTTCCTCGGCCTGCGGGTGTGAAGCGGGTCGGGGGGGGGAGGAGAAAAGAAAAGGCTCGAGTTCACGAACTAGTTCGAGGGTTCGGGCACCCAAGGGCGAACGACCGAACCGATGCAGCGAACCAAGGGGATGCCGTCCAGAGCGAACTCCGAAACCGAACGAACCGCGAGTTCACCGAACCAGTTCACGAACCAGTTCGCCAGTTCGCCAGCGAACTCGAAGGGCTGCCATCGGCAGGGTTCGGCTCCGAGCCGGGGGATTCTGCGGCAGCCGCGTGCGCAACACAACGACCGTGCGAGCAACGGTTGCGTTTTGTTAGGGCTCTCTGATCGCAGAGAGGGTGGGGTCGACCCGGACAACAACCCCGAGGTCTCGCGAAGCAGTTTGGACACAAAAGCAGTTGCGAGGCGTGGGGTTGGAGTGCTTTCTGTCTGCTGCCCTGCCACCGCCAACGGATCGCAATGACCCTCGAGATCGCCCACCTCAGCGCCGATGAGCTCAACCTGATCTTCGATAGCCTCTCGCCACTCGAGGCGCGCGCAGCGGCATGCGTCTGCCGTCGGTGGCAGCAGCTGGTCAGCCCAAGCCGCCGACGACTCCTCGCTGTCACGAGTGCCGGCAACAACACAACCATCGCCGCGGCATGGACCACACTAGCCCCTTATGTCCAGGACACTTCGCGTAGGCCCATGGCGCTGCGTCGACGTGGGGCACACCGTGACGCGCGTGACGACACTTCCGGGACGCCTGAGTAGGATCAAACGAGATTGTGCTCTTCGATGCGCGTGGGCGCGTGGTGCAGCGCTTTACGGCACTGCCGCCGCCGCAGCGGCGCCAGCGGCGGGGCGGCGGAAGGACGTACCGAGGCGTCTCTTCCTGGCGACAGCAGCGCGGCGCAGGCGGCCGTGACCCACTAGCTAGCCTTTGTCGGGGACCTAACCTGAGCCCATTGAGCCCACCTCGAACCCCCGCCCAGGCAACTGGCCGACCTGCCTCGCCTTTGGACCGCGCGGCGCGCCGGACGCCGCGCAGAGTGCGTCGCGTGCGAGGTCGACTGAGATGCGCCGAGGTCTGCCGAGATGTAGGTTCGTGTCTCGGTTACTGCGAGGCCGTGAGGAGCGCCTCAACCACAGCTGTGAGCAGTAGGCGAGCTCTTCGTCTCTCAGTATCGCGTGAGAGGCGTGCTGCAGTTCGAGCGGTCGCCTCACGGGTACTGCTACCGCCGCACCGTCGCGTCGGCCGCGACTCCCCTGTTGTGACGGCTGCGCAGGGCCTCTCCAGATCGCTGGCCCCGAGAATCTAGGCCGCTTCACTCTCCTCGCCCGAGGGCATCTGCTGTGCGCACGGCAGCCTCTACCTCGCTTGTGTTGACCGAGGGGTGATCGTGCGGCTTGCCTTGGCTGCCGGCGCCGCGCCGCTGGAGGCGACGGCCGGGGTGATCGCGTGCCTTCAGCCTCTCCCGTGAGCAGGCGCGCTGCTCGAGGAGACGCGCCCCTTCGAGGGGACGGCAGGGGAGGCGCCTGCCACTTGCCCCGCGCCGCCAAGCCTGCCACTGCCCCGCCGCCGCCGCTGCCGCTGCGCGTGCCTTCACCGCGCGTCGGCGTGGCAGATGTATGTGTACTGGGGCATGGCCCTCGGCCCAGACGGCAGCTGTGGCGCGACAGAGCCGAGAGGAGCGTGAGCATCGCTTCAGGGCACGGCTCTGTGAGTAGGCCACCTCTATGTTGCGGCGCACGTGAGCGAGGAGGGGGGGCACGCGCCCTCCTCCTCGCTCGCCATGCGTCCGGCCCGTGAGCAGCGCAGCTTCACAAGCGCCACCATCACGTGAACAGGCACTACCTCCGCCCGACACCGATCGGGAGCGGGCGAGTGCTACGGCAGAGGCTCAGCGCCAGCGGCAGCTTCCTCGGCCCCACGGAAGTGTTTGCGGGCCGCGGTGGGAGCAGCCGGCCGACGCTCACACCGCTCTCGATCGAGCGAGGAGCGGCATCTTCACGCAGCGCGGCGTGAATAGGCGCCAGCTCAACCGGCCGTCTGACCCGTGCTTTTGCTCCCATGGCAGCTCCCTCTCCTTTCCTGTCGGCGCCGGCCTTTCTTCACGCCGTGCGCTGTGAACAGGCAACCTGCACATCTCCTCCTTTGTCGCTCCCGGGGGCGCCGCAAGCCAGGCGAGCGTTCGCCAGCCTGCGCCCGGCACTCGGCCCTCTGCCTCTGCCGCTCACGCCACGCTGCTTGCCCGTGGCGACGCCCAGGCCGCTGCGGAGGGGATGCGGCGGGTCGTCTACACCTTTAGTCCGCAAGGCGATTGCCTCGGCTATCTGCGGCCTTCCGCCGGAGCCAACAGAGGCGGTTGTTATTGCGTGAAGCGGGTCCTCGGTCATTGCGGTTGTACGAACGTAGGCGTTCCCCTCGTGCGTGACGCAGCGGCATGCTGTGGGCAGCGTCTCTTCACGCGTGTGGCTGTGAATAGGCGCTTCCCTCATCCGTGACGCGTGGGGCGTCTCTTGTGCGGTGGACGGCGGCTCGAGCTTGCTCGTGGCGTGCCAGGGCGAGGACCCGGCCAGCGAGGAGGCGATCGTCCAGCTGCGGCAGTTTGTCGAGTTGCAGCTGAGGAGACGCGAGGAGGTGTGAGTAGGTGCTTGTGCGCCTGCCGAGCTGCGGCTGTGGCGAGCTGCTTGCCACCGAGCGTGCCTCCGCGCCCGACGCGTCCCGCCCCATCGCGTGTGGTGAGGCGGCGAGCCTCGTAGGAGCAGATGCGTGCATAAAGTGTGCCAATTATGTGGCGAACGTGCCGGGGAGTGGCTGACGCCTCGTGTCTGCTCTCCGGAAGCGCGATGGGATTTGCATCATTTCATTATGAGCCCCACAATGAATCATGATGAGCCGGAAGAAGAGAAGAATCGATCTCGGCTCTTGAGCCCGGCCTGTATGCACAGCACACATCTGGCACGACAAGGGCGTGGACTGGAGCACTCTAGCACACACATACATCGGCACACCAGCTGCGACCAAAGGATTGTTGTTGAGAGAGCAGATCCACCCCTTCCGGCTACATCTGCTCTCTCTCCTCAGCAGAGCAGCACATATCCTACAACATACCTACAAGCACATCTCCTCACACCTCTAGAACCTCGTAGGTAGGTAGGTAGAAAGGTGAAGAACAGAAACAAAGAGGGAAAAAAACACACACAAACGTCGACACGACGGGCGGATTCGCAATCTAAAGGCGCCTCAGCTTTCGGAGCTTGGCTGCGCCTTGCGGGCATGCCAGCGTGCTCAAAAACGCTGCGGAGCACACGATTCAACTACACCGCCGACTCGTGCCCGTGCTCGCTCGGCGGCTGCACGTCGCTGTGGCCATGCACCGCCTCGCGCCTCTGCTTCAAACACGATCTGCCCTCTGCCGCAGTCGCAGCGTCCCACCGCGCTGCAGCGCTGGGCAGTGCCACCGCGAGCTCCGACCTCGATGGTGACGGTGGCGGCCGGGGCAGCCACGGCGTCACGTACCTCTTCTTCCTCTCCTTCAACCGGTCGTTAGTGCGCAATGCCTTTGCCTCCAACCCGTGGAAGGCGCGTGCCAGGGAAGTCAACCGCGTCCTCTGGTTCATGCACACCGCACGAGCAGTCGGTGTGCGGCCTAGCCGCCGCCACCCGATCGCACCAGCCGCCTAGCCACCTACATGTCAATGTGCAGGCCTCCCGCCGGCGCGGCCTCGCCTCACCCCGCCGCGGCGGACTTCTTCCCATCTACCTGGCACACATGCACGCACGCCCCGCGACAGGCACCCTGCTGCCCGTCCACGCCGTCGTCGCCGGCGACCGCGATGCGGCGAGCGAGGCGAAGCTGGAGGCGGCTGGCAGTGCGGCTGTCGAGCGGGCTCGGAGCTTTCTCGGAGCCACCTCGGAGCGTTCCCATAGGCGGCCGGCGTGAGGCTGCTGTCTGGGCCGATGGTGCCTTCCCCCGCGTGGGCCTCGAAGTGGCACCGCCTCTCCTTCAACAAGATCGCGGCGCTCTCCTTCACGCAGTTCCGCAAGGTGGTTGTCCTCGACAACGACGTCGGCCTGCTCCGGAGCATGGACCACATGCTGCTCCACGCGCCCGCCCCCGCCGCCGTCTTCCACACCACCATCGGACCGCTCGCAAAAAGGACGCCGTGCGCGGTCACGACCGGGCTGCTCGTACTTCGGCCGTCACAGCGCGCCTTTGCCCGCGCGCTCTCCACGCTGGCGGCGATGAACTACTCACGCGAGACCTACGACGGCGGCGACGAGGAGTTCTGGCTCCGCTACTTTGCGGACGGGGCGGCGGCGGGCGAGCCGCTCTACGAGCTGCCGTGGAGGTACCACACGCACCGCTTGCTGCCGCTGCCTCCGGAAGAGTGGTACCGCGTGCGCATGCTCCACCTCATCGGCAGCCTGGCCGGCCGCGGCTTCTGCATCCCGCGGAACGCGACCCGCGCCGCAGAAATGTATCCGACGTGGACCACCAGGACAGAGAAATGGGGGCTGTGAACGAAGAGGTGTCAGCACAGGGTTCGCCCACCCTCTCAAACCGACTCGCACAATCGGTCGATTTAAAAATAAAACAAAAAGAGACGAAAATGGGATTCCTTTTTTAATACCCATCTCACACTAGAGAGGTGTCTGTTTTTATTTAAAATTACTAAACCCAGTTTTCTCGAGTTCATTTCACTATGTTTTTTCACCACTCACAACGTCTGTCGTCCTCATCTCCAAAAGCCGCCTGCGAGGTAAAGCCGCAGCCCTCCCGTTAATTACGCGATTGCTCGCCGACGGCGACGCGCGGCACCGCAGCACTTGGAGCACTTGGAGTGCAGCTCTTCGGCCTTTGCACGATGCGTGAGCGTGTCGAGATGCGCGTGTGGGAGCAACGAGACGCTCGGCGCTGCCCGACCGAATACCGAAATAGACAGGCAGAACCGCTGCTACACGAGCTCGTACCTGCTTCTAGGCGTGTTTTCCGTTTTGAGGAGGTGCTCGCCGAGCAGGCCTGTGACAACTGGTTGGTCTTTGTTGTAAACTTGTAGTCTAAAATTCAGTCTTAAGGTCCGACCTGTGCGCTGTGGGCACTGCCTCTCTGCCTGCGCTCGGCACCCCTCGGTACACAAAATGCGCCTGATCACAGCCTTGTTATTGAGAAGAAAATACCCCTATGGCGCAGATCACAGATCTAGGCTTCGTGGATGCGTCCACACCCAACGTTCGCCAATCGTGCGTTTCATGGGCGAGCCCCTCCGCACCGTCGTGCGGGTCAAGCGTGCCGAGGCGGGATACGAGGGGCGAGATGCGGGCGCGGGGTCCCTCTTCATCGCCGGCAACGCCCTCGAGCTCGCCCCTCCGGATCGTGGCGACGGCGTGAGACACTCGTGCGCCATATGAGTGATGCAGATTCTGCGCCAATACGTTAGAGTGATCGAGTCGAGGCCGCATCAACTGCCCCAGCGCCTCCACCGCCAACGCTGCCGTCCCAACCGCGTGATGCAGCGCCTACCCACCCTCCAGGTACGGCGCCATCTACGACTCCTTTGCCTCCGACCAAGACCTGTGCGAGGTCGAAGTGAGGCCACTCGCCGCCTCACTGGCCACCGGCCTCAATGCAGCGGTTCTGGTTGCGGGGCACTGCCGCTCGGGACGCGAGGCGCTCTTTGGCGCGATCGCCGCACGAGCGGTTGAGGGCATCTTCGAGGCGATGCGGCAGCGACTGCAGGCTGGCGATCAGGCTGGAGGACTCACCTTCACACTGACCGCACGGTACGCCTTCATCCCTGCCGCCTCCACAGTCACCACCGCCACGGTCCCCTGCCTTTTCCCAGTGTAATTTTGCCTCCATTTGCTACCACTCGTGTGTCGCCACTATCGCCCTCGCCGCCGCCACCTCCAGGTACGCCGCAGTCGTGCACAAGGCACCGCATATGAGCGACCTTCTCTCCGCAGGGTCTGCCCAAGTCACAGTGGCTGCAGACCCTGCGGCCGCAGGAGGAGTCACTCTGCGCGGGTCCGCTGCGCGCGCCCTGCCGCAGCCAGGGGCGATCGGGGAGCTACTCCGCACTGCCCGCCAACGGCTTAGACAAGGGCGTCCTCCCCCGCCGTCCTCCGCCTTGCAGCTTGAGCTGAGGCAAGAGCACAAGGGCCGCTCCGCCGCACCGGATCGCCGGAGGTCGTCGTCGGAAGAGGCTAGCGGTGGCGGTGGCGGCGGCGGTGACGCTGACCTGGTCTCCTCGCTGCTGCTCGCAGACGTCGAGACAAACGCACTCGGAGACGGGCTGGCCAGCGGGCTTCGCCAGCTTCTCAGCGGCCCCGGCTCTGCGCACGCTGCGCACAGCGGGCCAGCATTGCTGCTTCGCGACGCCGTCGGCGGGAACTGCAAGACGGTGTTGCTCGGGACGGTGGCGCCGGAGGACTTTGCCGAGTCTTGCGCGACGTTGCAGCTGGTCGCACAAGGGGCGGGCTTTGTCAACTTCCCCCTCGTCAACGACGTGCGCGCACGTGGCTTGCTGGCGCCGTGGGCGCAACGCCCAATCCTCTCGCTTGGGGACGGCCTCTCTTCACGATCGGCTGGTGTGAGTAGGCGCACCACCGGTGGGTGAGCCTGCAGCTACAGGAACAACTCTCCGCTGCGGAGGGCCGGCTGCAGCACGGGGTCGATTTGCTCGAGGAGGACCGCAGGGCGCTGCCCAACCAGCTGCACGGGGCGGCAGCGCGGCTGCAGGCGCTGGTCGACCAGATGCAGCAGGATGCGAAAGGGGCTGCGGGCGAGAAGCAAAAGCTGATGGCGGAGGTACTTGAGCTGCGCACCCAGTATAATGGCGCGACGGGCGAAGTGGTCGCCCTCAAGGAGGAGGTGGTGGCCACCAAGCAGGAGAAGCTCGCCCTCTCAAAGGAGCTCGTGGCGACGCAGCTCTCCGCCAACGAGGAGTCAGCCGCGCAGGCCGAGCAGATCTTTAGCCTCGAGCAGGAGGCAATTGCATCGGCAGACCTTCTAGCGCAGCTGCAGGAGCGCGCCGCGAGCCTCGAGGCCGACCGTGACGGGAAGGCCAACGCGCTCGCCGAGCTGGAGACGACAGCAGAGACGGCACGGCTCGAGGCGGTGAGCTCGCAGGCGCAGGCGAGCAGTGCTCGCGCCGAGGCGCTCGAGGCGCGCGAGCGGGAAGACGATCTAGCGCTACAGCTGCTCAACATGAGCAACGCCTCCGCGACCGCCGAGTCTCGCCTCGCGGACGCTGCCGCACAGCTGGAGGCGGCGGAGCGAGAGGCCACAGCGCAGCGCTCGCGCGCTCAGGACGCCATCTCCGAGGCCGAGGCGGCGCGGGGGGAGGCGCTCAAGCTGGCAGAAGAGGTGTCAAGCCTCAATGTGGTGATGGAACGGCAGGCTCTCTCTCTGCAGCAAGACCGGCTGGCGCTGCAGCGGACGGCGGTCGAGGCGGCAGAGGCGCAGCTCGAACGGTCGCAGCAGGCCGAGGCGCGTGCTGATAGGGAGAGCCACGCGCTGGGCGAGGAGAGGGCAGCACGCGAGGCAGCGGTGGCCGAGTACGAGGCGGAGATGGGCGAGGCGCGTGCGCGCGAAACGGCGCTGCGGAGGGCGCTCGCCGATCAGGCGGCGCAGCTGGTTGCAGCAACCCGCCATCTCGAGCTCTTGGGGGGTGAGGTGCCGGAGACCGAGCAACCGGCGGCAGCTGCAGTCGGGGGAAGGGCAGTAGCAGCGGCAGCCCTAGAGGCCGCCGAGGCGGAGGCGGAGGCGACGGTGAAAAGAGTGCGGAGCCTCAAGCCGAAGGAGGTGAAGGAGGCCCTCGCCGCTCGCGGGATGAGCAGCAAGGGCAAGAAGGACGAGCTCCTCGAGCAGCTGGCCGCAGCAGTGCAAGTGGAGCAGACTTCGGCCGTGCAGGATGCGAGGGCGAGGGCGGCCGAGGCGGCGGCCACTGCAACGGCGGCCGAGGCCGCCGCGGCCGAAGGGACGGCCGCCCTGGCTAAAGCGGCGGTGGAGGCGGGCGAGCCGGGAGCGCTTAAGTCGGAGCTTGCTCGCTGCAGCGCGTCTGTCAGCCGGACGCTCGAGGTGAACCGCGCGCTCATTGACGCGTACTGGCGGATGCGTGCGCTGGCGGAGCCGGCCGCGCTGCCTTCGCACGCGGAGCTGCTTGGTGAGGCACTCGTCGAGCCACGGAGCGGCCGGCGCGCTGTCCCGTCGGAGCTAGAGAAGCTGCTGCAGCGCGAGGCGGAGCAGCTGAGCACGCAGCTCGCAAAGGCAAAGTCCGAACTCAATACCGAGCGAGACAAGGGCCGCACCGCGCTAGAAGGCTCGCGCGCGAAGCTAGAGCGGCAGCGGACCGAGGAGAGAGGTCTGGCCGAGCAGGCCAAGGAGGCGACGCGCGGCCTAGAGGAGAGGGAGGCCGAGCTGAGCGCCGCAATCGAGCGGGCCGAGCAGGCGGAGAGGCGTGCGCAGGAGGCGGAGGCTCAGCTGGATGGGGCCTCGGGGGACGCGGAGGCGACCCAGCGTGCGCTGCTCCACAAGCTGAGCCGCGAGGCGGAGGACGAGCAGGTGTCGGTGGCAGAGCTGCAGAGGCAGGTTGCCGCGCTTAGCGCAGAGCGGGCGGAGCTGCAGCGGCAGCTCGACGAGGCGAAGACGACAGCGGAGCCCCCCTTCCCGACCGAAGACGGGCAGGCGGCCCGCACGATCGCGGCGCGCAACGGCGAGCTGCGAGAGCTCCGCTGGAAGGCTCGCGAGCTGGTCGAGTCGCAGGCCTCCTTAGAGCGCGAGCGCTCGGAGCTCAAGCGACGGGCGATGGCGGCGGAGGAGCAGCTCGCCGAAATGCAGCGCTTCCTGCCGCAACACATCGGAAAGTACCAAAAAGAGATTGTGCGTCTGCGCGAGTCGCTCAAGGCAAGAGGCTGATTGCTGATCATTATTTTGTCTACTTTTTGCGTGTGTGTCGCGCCGCGGCCGCGTGTTGCGGCGCTCTGCCGGGCGCGTTCTGCGTGTGCCGCCACACGGCCCCGTGTCTGCGCGGTGTGCGCGCGGGGAAAGAAGCGCTCTACCGACCCTGGAGTGTGACCACATTGCATGTGCATGTGGGACATGACACATGCATGTGCATGTCATGCTATGTGTACCTCTTATGTCACAAGTACTCGACATGCTCGTCACGGACGACGCGGCACCAAATGCGCCTCACGGCGCGCCTCAGTGAGCGGAGTTACTCTTGCTGCGAGCAGCTGCATGATGGTCTCAAAGGCATCAGTGCCGGGCAGCTCACCGCGCCGCTTTTGAGGCAGCCATCGCCGCCAGACCATGCGGGTCCACACGCGGCGCAGGCCGGCCTGCTTGGCGCGCAGGTCGGTGCGCTCGAGTACCCGATCGAGCTGCGGCAGCTCGTCGTGACTGACGAGCACGGCAAAGTCGTCCCAATCGAGCAAGTCGTGCTCGAACGCCTGCGCGACCGGGTCGTGCGCCCCGTCGTGCTGCACAACCACCGGGACGCAGCCCAGTACGAGGGCGTGGACTGCCCGCATGCCCCACCCGGCGCCGCTCGGGGCGAGGCAGTACTGCGCGCGCAGAATCTCATCGTCCAGGCTCAAGGAACGGTTGACGGCGGGAAGGTAGTCGGAGGGGAGGAAGCGGTAGCCACGCCGGTCGCGGAAGCGCTGCCAGAGGCTGTATCGGTGTCCAAAGCTGTATCGCTTGACGGGTGGCCTGTAGTCGCTCTTGGGCCTGCCCGTGAAGGAGGTGGCGCACTTCTTCTCGAGCGCGCCCAAGTCCCTTGCCTTCGTCCATGTTGGCCAGCATAGCGCGCCGCTGAAGAAGAGTGTCGTGGTGCGCGCCGGCGGCGGTGCCCGCGGCTCAAGAACGGGCCAGAATGGGCTCTTTGTGATGCGGTCGGGGTTCATTGCCGATGGCACGACGAGGTCCTGGCCACGGCGGTAACACCGCTTCTCTACCTTGCCGAAGAGACCTGTGGTACCACCCCAGTGCTGCAGCACGGTCCCAAGCGAAAGCTCGTCCCGAACCGAGCCCCAGAGAGTGGAGCATGAGCCGACGTCTCGTTGCAGGAACCAGAGGTGGTCCGAGCCTCGCGAGGCGTTGTAGAAGGGGTACACGGTTGAGATGTACCGATGCGCGCGGTATATAGGCGCGTTCGGGCCCCAGCAGCCGTGCCAGTCGTGGAATGGCACATAAAAGTAATCGGCTTCGGCAGCGACGGTGGTGCGATGGCCCGAGTCGAGGAGTCCCTCAAGGAAGAGCCACGGCGCCTTGCGCTGCGTCTCCCCCATACTGCGATGGCGCCATTGCGAGTTGTGGTTCGACCCGAGCGAGTTGAGCCGTGCGGGGAGGTCGTACACGTACACGCAAGGGCGTGCCGAGCAGCGGATCGGTGCGGTGGGGTGGTGGGCGCAATCGATGCCACTATAGGGAAGCGTGCAGTGGCAGAAGCCGTCGAGGCACGCGCCGTGGCCTGAGCAGTCGCGCATGCAGTTCGACGAGAGCGGCTCGCATGAGGCGCCTGCAAAGCCGGTGAAGCACATGCACATCGGCCGCCTATTCACGGCGATGTGATGCGAAAGAGACCCCCCCCCCGTCTTCTGAAGCTCTCTTTAACAGCGGCCACCCCGCGGTCCCGGTGCACCTGCCGCGCCCATTGCAGCCGGCGGGGCAGAGGGAGGGCGGGAGACTGTGCCACACGCCGCACCGGCCCTGTGCCACCAGGTCCACGCGCGCTCCATTCTTGTCGATTACCGACGCATCCCTCTCCCTCCTCTCGTCCTCTGGACCGCACAGCCGCTGTTCGCATTTCCATGGCTGCGAGTCGTTGTGGATGCACCTGCATGGCATGTGAATAGGTATACCTGCGGGAAAAGCCGATGGCGTGCGGCGTTGCGCTAAACCTGCGGTGCGTTAGCACTGGGAGCGAGCAGTCCGGCCCCCAGCGGTATGGACCGCAGTCGCACCGTGCCAGCGGCACCACCGCATCCGCCAGTGGCATCGCGCACACCCCTCCCTCGGCGCACCTCGCTGGACATGCCGCCTCTGCCGCCTCTCCTGCCGCCCCCTGCCGATTTGGGGCGGCAAAGTGCCACGCGCCGCCGGTGAGCACCGGCGTGGCCGCACCGGGCTGCGGCGGGAGGGGCGAGTCGCGGTGGCAGTACTGCGAGTAGTTTTCATCGACGCATCTGGCGGCGGTGCGTGGTGAAATTAGGTGGTGACAACGAGGAGGGTGAAGAATGCAGGAACGCACACACCGTCGGTAGAACTGGTCCCGCCCGCGACCAGTAGCGCCAGCGTAGAGCCACGGCGACGCCCACCTGCGTACCGTAGCGACAGTGACCACACGATCACCGCACGTGTGTTAGAGGCACAGCTATCGTGGGAGTGCAAGAGAGATAGCTGTGCGGTCGGTCCTGTTTGCGCGCGACTTGAGCCAGATGTGCTCGTCACGCAGCTGGGAGGCGAGCAGGGAGACGTTGAGCCGCGTCGGCGCCAGATCGTGCCGGTCCGCCTTTGCCAGCCACATCGAGACGCTTCGCCTTTTTCTCGGTCGCCGGCCCATCCGGCGAGGGCATGTTCGTTCGGACCAAACTTAGGATGGCCGATGGCGGGAGGGGGCGGATAAATATAACGCCACGGCGCTCTCGGGAAGAGATGAAAGGGATTTAAAGTTCGCCACTGCGCTCCCCCTCCCCCCTCCCCCACGCGGCAGGCGCGCGTGCTGCTGCTCGACCTCGGCCAGCCCCACGGCGCACCAAGCAGCCTCGGGCTCCTCTGACCGCGGTCGGCTCGGCCTGTCGCCCGCGGCTAGCCCGCCTCCCCAAGGGGAGGCGCCTTCTCCGCCGGACGGTCCCGGCGACCACGTGAGGAGACGGCGGTAGCCGCGCGCAGTCAAGTACATACATGCTGTGGTAGATTAGAGAGAGACCGCCCCACGCGCCGCCGACGTCTCTGATACGTTTATGTACTTGTGTACTCGAGGCAGTGGACCATGGTAGTGGGAAGTGGCGAGTGGCAGTCGCCGCGGACACGATGATCGGCGTGGCAACACGTGCTGAGTCGTGTGTGCTCCCTTCTGCCTGCTAATGGCGGGATCAAAAGTTGGTCGCTGCGAGGAGAGGTCAAAAGTTGGTCGCTGCGATCTGGAGGAAATGGAATTCCCCCAACGCCCCATGAATTCCACTGAGCCTGACCAATTCTTGACTTGTTGGGCCCTCCGTGGACCGTGGGACCGTGGCCTCTCTCTCGAGGTATGGAGCTACAAAGCGGCCAATGGTAGTAGGATGTATTATCTTCACGGCAGTTATGTAATTTCCGTACACGTTGTCCCGTTCCCCCAGGACCTGCCGAGCTTTGAGGGATGTCGATTTTTTGTAGAACCGACGGCGAGGCGGCGGCGCCTTGCCGATGGCAAGCGATTGCACAGCAGGGGAGCTCGACTGCCGGCTCTTTGAGCTATACGATGAGTACGGCCTCGCACTCCGCATTGGCCTCCTGTGCCTCGGCGTGCAGCTCGCGTGCACGGCGCTCTTCAAGGCGCTACCGGCGGGCGGCAGCTTTGACACGACTCGCTTCCCCGTGTTCCTCGCGCACCAGGTCGTCGCCCTCCCGCTAATGATCCTCCTGACCTACATGGGTTGCGCCGCCTACTACAGTCCCGCGGCCGACTCCCAGCTCGCCGACGCGGCCGGCGCGCACGGGCGGAGCACGTACCCCGTCGCCGCCGGCCGGGACATCTCCCTGGTCATCCTCGGGATGCAGCTCTTCTGGGACCTGCCCGTGACATTGCACGCCGAGATGTATGACGCTGTCAACCTGGCGCACCCACGTCGGGACGGCGACTTCTGTGGCCCTGCGGAACCGTCTCGGAGCCTTCTCGGAGCCTTCCCCATAGGCGCACCACGTGGGGATGGCCATCTCTGCGGCCCTCTCGCTCTCGCCGTACGTGCAGTACTGGGTCCCCTTCTTCGGCGGGCTGATTGAGGCCCCCCCCCTTCGCGCCGCGTGCGTCGGATGCTCCGTTGTTAAGCTCCTTCTCCCTTTCCGACTGGACTCATAGGCCTCCTCCATCCCCCTCGTCCTCGCCGACGTCTTCCACCCCAAGCGGTACCAGGACTTTGCGGAGGCGACGGCCGGCCGCTCCAAGGCCAACTTTCTGCTGCGCGTCACCTTCCTCCTCGCGTACCTGCTCGTGCGCTGCGTCTGGTTCCCCGCAACGGTGGCCTTTGGCGTGGGGCCGGATCTGCTCAGCGAGCTGCGCGGCGCGGAGGACGCGGCCGCAGCGCTCAGCCCCGCGCTGGCGCTGCTGCTGATCCTGCCCCTCACCTTCCTGCAGCTGCACTGGGGCCGGCTCCTCGTCCGGCAGGCGATGAAGGCGCTCGCGCCGCCGCCCGACGACAAGCCCGCCTATGACCAGCTCGACGACCAGCACGTGCTCTAAAAGCCGCGGGCTCCGTCCATGTCATCGGTGGGTGGGGGGTTTTGGAGCTGACTTTACGTTTGGAATCCGCTGCTACTGCTGCTGCTGCTGCTGCTGTTACGTCTTCGGTCCCCGCGGGAAGCCCCGCGCATAGGACAACAACGTCTGTCCCACACACGCACAGACACGCGAACATACATCATGCTCGGGGGCACCCCCCACAGTGTAGTCGTGGTGTGAGCACACAAGTACTAGCAGAGTGCACACCTAAGAATCAAAGCCTCTTGGTTCTTACGCGCGCTCGAGGGAGTTACCAAACTGAGGTAGCGAAAAATAAAAAAACCGGCACAGTCCGCACCGCCTCGCGAAAGGGTGAAGCAACGATCAACTCCAGGTCCAGCTTGGTCCTTGGACTTGCACTTGGCTCTTGGAACTTGGGTGCGACGCGTCGTTCACTTTCTTTTTTTGAGAGCGCCTTCGTTGTTAATAATACAAACAGATGGTCACTTGCCACAGTCACATACACGCACACACACACACCGCACCGCACCCCGCACTCTCACGCCCCCCGCCCGCCCCCGCCTAGCGCTACCGGTACTCAGTCAGTAGGCTGGAAGGAGATGAGGAGATGGAACAGCCCGAGGAAAGGAGCGAACAAACACGTATGTCGTGATGGGAGGTTAAAGTTGTGCGTTGTTCACGCTGCCCGGCGTTTCTCACTTTCCGGGACAGCCCCGCCCTGGAGGCAAGAAATGGCTCAGATCCACGCGGCAGCAAGATTCTTTTTTCGCACAAAAAATCCGATTCTTTTTTTCGCGTGCACCTCGGAGCACATAAATTCCACAGTACGTCATGATCGGAGGAGCTCTCGCCGCCGCGTCCACGGGCCTCGTGACACTGCAGCCGGCCGCCGTGCCGCTGCACTCGCCCATGCATCTGGCCGTGCCCGCGACTCGTCCGGCGGTAGCCACGATGTCGCTGCTCCCGGACCACAGCAGATTCGCTCCGCAGCAGCTCGCCTCGCAGGTGCTTGCGGCGGTGCTCGCGGCGGGCGTGGCTTTGGGCCCTCCAACGGGGCTGGAGGCGGCTGAGGCGGTGGAAGACGTCAATGCCGTCGCGGCGAAGGCCGCAATCAGCCGCTACAACACCCAGAAGGCGACCGTCGCCGCCACCGCTGTCGTCGCGGCGCCCGTTGTTGAGCGGAGCAGCGCGCCGTCGGCGGCGCCTGTCGCCGCGCCCGCCGCGGGTAGCTACGCGAGCGCCGAAGACGCCCTCAAGAAGGAGCAGCGCAAGGCCGCCAGGCCGGCGGCCGCGGCCAAGAAGGCGCCGGTGCCGGTGGCGGCGCCAGCAGCGCCCGCCCCGGCGCCGGCGCCTCCCGCTGCAGCGTCCAAAGTGAGTGCGACGAGCGAGGCGGCGGACCGGGTGGCGGCGGCGGCGGCGGCGCGCAAGGCCAAGGAGGCCGCCGCGGCGCCGGGTGTGCCTGCGCCCTCCAAGGCTGCCGAGGCGACCAAGGCGAAGGTTGCGGCGGCCAAGGCGGCAAAAGCGGAGAAGGCGTCCAAGGCTGCGGCGCCGGCGGAGAAGGGCGCGGCGGGCAGCAAGGCGGCGCGCGAGGCGAAGGCGTCCACGCCCGCGCCGGCCGCCAAGGGCGAGGCAAAGGTGGAGGCCAAGGCGCGGTCCTAGAGCGAGGGGAGTGGTGGGGCGTGAGACGCGTCTCACAGCCCGGGCGCAGGATGGACTTGGGGCATCGTCCCGCCGACGCACGCTCGCGACGCGATCCGCCCGCAGGTGCGGTCTGAGGTGAAGAGCGCAGAGGTGGCGCTGGCGTCGGCCAAGAGCGAGGCGAGCAAGGCGGTGAGCGCGGCGAGCAAGAAGAAGGCTCGCGAGATCAGCCGAGATCAGCCGAGACCAGCCGAGCAAGAAGCATGCTCAGTCGAGCCGAGGTCGCCCGAGATGCGACACCACGCGAGCAGGAGGCGTGCTTTCGCGCGAGGCGGCGCGGTGGGACGCGGCGGTGGTGGGTCGTGCTTCTCACTCACACACGCGTGCGCCGTGGCCTCAGGACCCGAAGCTGAAGGCGGCGGCGGAGCGGGCGAACAAGGGCGTTGAGGCGTCGGCACGCAAGCTGAGCGCTGCCAAGGCCAAGCAGCAGGCCGAGGCCAAGAAGCTCGAGGCCGATTTGGCTAAGGCTAAGACCAAGGCGCTCGCCCACTTGCACCGTCGCCTTGCACTCGCGCAAGGCTGCGGCGGCTCCTTGACTTGGGGGGAGGGGAGGGGGGGAAGGGGGGCTCGACGCTGTGCGTGTGGACGCACTTCACCTTGCCCCCTCCGAAGGCGCGCGAGGCTGGCAAGGTGGCCGCCAAGAGCGACTCCGCAGTCAAGCAGGAGCCCCTGCACCCCGGCCACACCCCGGCCACACCCCGGCCACACGCCGGCCACACCCCGGCCATGCCTCGGCCACACCCCGGCCATGCCTCGGCCACACACCCCGGCCATGCCTCGGCCATGCCTCGGCCACCCCGGCTCTACTTCGCTGATTCGACCCCGCGACCAAGCAGGCGGCCGCTGCCAAGGGCCAGGCCGAGAAGGCAGCCGCAGAGTCGCAGGTTCGAGGGCGGCGAGAGGGCCCCGAGAGGACGCGAGATGAGCCGAGATAGGCCCTCGCCGAGGCGCAGAAGAAGGCGGACGCGCTGGCTGCAGCCGCCGTCAAGGCGTCAAAGGCGGGCGCAGAGCAACGAAGGCAGAGGCCGTCCGAGACCGTCCGAGATCACCCGAGGTCGCCCGAGGTCGTAGGCGGAGCAGGCGAAGGCGGCGAAGGCTGTCGCTGACGCCGACAAGGCGACGAGGCCGAGGGGGCGAGATCACCCGAGATCACCCGAGATCACCCGAGATCGCTCGAGATGTCAGGCGGTCGACAAGGCAAAGAAGGAGATCGCGGCGGCGGGCGCCAAGGGCGATTCGGGCAAGGCACCGCCACCGGCCCGAGAGGGAGAGGTGGGCTCTGTGAGCAGCGTCTCTTCACAAGCCGCGGCTGTGAGCAGGCGTCCGTTGCGTCCAAGCAGCTCGAGGCGGCGCAGCGCGCCAAGAAGGCTGCGGCCAAGGGCGCGGAGGCGGCAGACAAGGCTGCTGCCGCGGCAGCAAAGGCCTCCAAGGCCAAGGGCGCGGCGGTCATCAAGGCGCGAGCGGGAGTCGAGATGTGGCCGGAAGCAGCCGAGAAATGTGCCCACATTGGGAGGAGGGGCGGGGCCTGTCCATTCCCCGCACTTGTGGCAGGCCGTGAAGGCGAAGAGTGGAGGCTTATCCGAACCATCCACGAACCCTCCTCCCGACCTCCCTGTAGGCCGTCAAGGCGAAGGTGGAGCCGTCGGCGGAGAAGGCGAAGACGGCGGTGGCGGTGGCCAAGGGTGCCGACGCCAAGGCGGCCGAGGCGGCGGCCAAGGTTGCGGCGCTGGAGAAGGCGCTGCAGTCGACGCGCTGAGCTGCGGAGGGGTTGGGGTGGAGGGGTGGCTGCCTCTCGGGTGTGGGCCATGGCGGGCGGTGGGTGGGTGGGTGGGGGGGGGGGTAGGGGCGTTTGGTGGGTCCCAGTCCCGCCAACTTCTGGCCCAGGGCAAAGGAGGGGGCGAGGGCTGGTTCCTGGCCCGGTCAGGATGCTCTCCCTACGTCGCCAGTAGAGTGGGGCGGGGTGTGTCGAGCTCCGCACATGTGCACTCTCATGTATGTGTGCGCGCGCGAGCACTCTCGCCTCTTATTCGAGCCGCTCGCGTGCCTTCGCTCCGGCCGGCTTCCAACCGCGACAATGTTGATTGACTCTCCGATATACGGCGCTGTCTACTTATCAAAACGACTAACCGCAAGACGAAATAAAATCTTCAGAAAATAAACGGTGGTCGGTGCGCGGAGGGGCGCGAGGAGACCGCTCTCCCTTCTCCTCAACATGCATCCAAGCACGCTCTCTAGCAACACTTGACCATGAGTGTGCCCTGTTCTGGGTCAAAGTTTTTGTTGAATTTACGCACGCTCGTCGAGCTCTCCCACCACAGCGCATCTTCGTTGCCTTGGAAGTGAGATGCCCCCGGCTGAATCGCGCGCGCCTTGTCGGTGGCGACCGGGCAACAGCCGAGAGGGATGCAGCAGCAGGGGCCGATGGCGACGGACTCGGCGTTGGCATCGACACCGTAATAGGTGCAGTAGCAGCAGGGGCACTCGCTCAGGTAGTAGCAGCCGCTCCGGATCTCCCGGACCCGCCCATCCATTTTTCCACGAGACATGGTCGCTGGAGTCGGGGCACCCTGGGCCGGGACGCCCGGATAGTCCGGGTACACTGAATTGCTGGAATACGCCACAGGCTGCGCGCCCGGATAGTCCGGGTACACAGTAACGGGCTCCGCAGTGACCATCACCGGCTGTGTGTCCGGCACATTGATCGCAATGGCATGCCCGCTGTACACGCCAGGCGGGCACGTCACCTGCATGGGCCCTGCGGGCGTGTTCACCTGGAAGGGGTCGCCTGGCGACACGTTTGCTGGGACGGTCACCTGCATCTGAGACATGGTCTGCGCGGCAAAAAGTGGAACGGAGTGCAAGGAGGTACGTATCTAGATATGTAACTTTTTTCCATCTTCGCGCTTTCTGCTGATGAGAGGGAGCTTTGTTGTAAAATTCTTTTTCCGTGCCGCGTCCGCGTTGCTTCCACACACACGCACACACACACACACCTCACCTCCTGCTCGACCGAGCGAGTTTGCGTTGTCCGTTGAGAAGCGACCCGAGCGAACCGCCGGGTGCCCCGCACCCAGCGGCCTCGCTGGGCCAGCCGGTGTGCGGTTCTTGCCGTATAGCCCCGGCGCCGTCTGCCGGACGCCTGCGTGTCACACGACGGAGTGCGAGCCGCTCGCGGTTCGTACGCCCGCTTGCGGTTAGTGGCGGGCCATCCCCGCTTGCGGGATGGCTTAGCGGGTTCGAGCCGTCACACATTGGCTGCCGGTGTGTGCCGAGGGCCGGGGCTGGGTGGGCGGTAAGCCGTCATTGCCCGGCGCTGCTTGCAGCGCTCTGGGACTGGGTGGTAGAGGTAGTGGCGGCGCTCCAAGAGTGGTACTCTTGGGAATCGAGGTTCCTCCTTTCCGCTCCCCCCCGCAAGGCGCGAGACACACACAGCCAGAAGACAGGGCTCCGCAGCAGCCTTGCTGGGCCAGAAAATCGGCCCGCGAGGTGGGGTGCTACGTAGATCGTAGTATGAGCCCGGCCCAGGTCGTAGTGTTCTTGCTCCAAGTGCTTGCGCTTCGGCGGTTAGTGGTGCACTAACCTCCGTCCGACCCGAGAAACCCTCCTCGGGGCGCTCCTCATCGCAAATCCTGCCAGCAGAGAGAGTCCTCCTACGGGAATGTATGTAAGAGCCACATACACTGAAAATTACTTTATTGAACAGCCAACTGCAGCCGAGGTAGGATGCCGCCCTGCATTCCGCGGCTGGTGAGAGGCCACGTGCCAAGGGAAGAAAGGAACGTACGAGTCTCTGCACGGATCGATGGCCATCTTCCGCTCCCAGTCTTTCTCCCGCGTCAAGCGCGCCCTCTCGTTCAAGAAGCGGGGCCGCAAGCAGGCGGCTGCGGACGAGCCTGGCGAGCCCGTGCCTGCAGCCGCTTCCGAGCCAACCATTGCGGAGCAACCAGACGCGCCGCCGCCTCCAGCCGACACGTCCCCGCAAAGCGAGGCGCCGGCGCCAGAGCCTCCCGCCTCAACGGCGGAGGAGTTGGCGGCGGAGGAGGAGCCGGCGGTCCTCGTCATCGCCCCCTCACCCTCGGCGCGGCTCGAGCCCGAACCTATCAACGTGATCCACCCGGCGGTCGAGGCAACCTCTGGCTTGATTGCCTGCCTCGAGGGGCAGTCGTCGTCGTACTTTGACCTATCAAAGGCGGGCGGCGCGGAGGCGGCGGAGGTTGACAGTGAGCTGGAGGTCGAGGCGGACGCCAGTGCGCCGCCGCTGAGCCCCACGCGTGACGAGCTCAGCGTAATCTTTGGCGAGGCGTCCTACCCGGCCGAGGTGGCGGCGGCGGCGGCGGCGGCGATGACGGCAGCGATGGCGGAGGAGGCAACTGCTGCGTTGGAGGCGGATGCGGTGGGCGTTGAACCGATGGAGGGTCAGGCAGCAGCGGCCGAGCCGGCCAAGGCGCCTGAGGTGGTGGTGGAGGAGGAGAGCGCTGCAGCCATTGAGGCGGTCCCTGTGACTGCTGAGGATGAAGCCGAGACGGAGACGTCTTCTTGCTTCACGAGCGACGCGTCCTCATCTTCGCTGCTGGCGGAGGAGGCGTCCGGCGCGACGGTGTTAGAGGGGGGGGTGTCGGAGGATGAGGTGTCTGAGCCGGACATGTCGGAGCCCGAGATGGACGACGGCGCAGAGGACGGCGCTGCCGACGACGAGGGGGAGGAGGACGAGGCGGTTGCGGCGAACGCGAGGGCGTACGCCGACCTGTACGCTGAGTACGCGCACGAGGCGGCGGCACGCGCGGCGGAGGAGCCCTCGCTCTTTGACCTGCTCAAGCGGTCCGTCTCCAACATGAGCGCAAGCCTGCTCTCACCCCGCGCGCTGCACTGCCTCGGCCGCTCGTCTGCGGCCGAGTCACAGGAGCCACAGCCAGCGGCCGGCGACGAGGAGGCGGCGACGGCCTCAGAGGCGGAGGCTGCTCCCTCCTCGCCCGATGAGGAGTCTGTGGCCTCGGACGAGGAGGCGGTGCGCGCTGCGGTGGTCACGCGCGACCGCGCGCTGCTGCTTCTGAAGGCGGAGGCGCGTGAGTACGCTGAGGTGGCGTGGGAGAGGGCGAGCCGTCGCAGCGCCGCCTCCCGCGTCAGCCGCTCGAGCTCGGTCGCCTCGTCGGCTCGCTCCGCTGAGTAGGAGCGGCGCCGTGGTGTGGGGGGTCCGTGTCTCAGGAGATACGTGATGCGTGTTCGTTCATTTATTGGGGGCTTTGAAGTTTGATACCTCCGGCGGGCTAATGCCCTTGAATAAGTTACATAATGACTGAATCCGCTGTGTTGCCCTCGAGATGCTGCCAAAAATATCTTTCCCTCCGACCCCCTTCGCCCTCGCACCTCCACGTCGCGCACGGAACCACGCGGTCCTCTGAGCTCTGTCCTCTCTCCCCTGGGCTCCTGCATGGAGTGCAGCATGGCAGGCCACGCCCACGGCGAGACCGCAGTCTTCCACAGAAAAGAAACAAAGCAGGCGTGGGAGGACGGCACGCCGCCACCACACAGGGACTTTAAGTCCACAATCTTTCCACTCGCGTTTGCTGTCTGTCCTCCCAGCGGAAATCCCGGCCGACTCCGCTGTGAACAGCGGGTTGTGCGTATACCAACCACTCGAAACAGCGTCGAGCTGTGGAAGAGAGCGGGTCGCTGATGGACCTGCGTGGCAAGACAGTACGCGAGGTGGAGGCCGGCGCGCGGATCCGCGTTTGGTACGAGGAGGAGCAGGACGGCGGCGGTAAGGCCCGCGTCGCCTACCTCGGCACCACGTCAGCCTACTCCGCGGCCGAAGGGCTGAGGGTGCTGTTTGACGGGTACGACGAGAGCGAGCAGGAGGTTGTCGACGCGGCGGACGAGTGGGAGTGGGCGCCCGACCTGCTTGGCCCCTTTGACGCAGTGAGGCTCAAGCTGCGCGGTGTCGGCAGACCAAAGCCGCAACCGCCGGCGCCGCCCTCACCGCTCTTTCCTTAGCCTAAAAAACGGACGCGACGCATCCGCGGTAAGGCCCGTAGGCGGGAGCGGTGGATGCGGGCAGGTCCGGCAAGAAGGCGCCGAACCCGCGCCAACCCCCCTTCCTTCTCTCATTGTGGTCAAACTTTAATTGATTGTTAATAGGCGCGGCTGCCCCGCGGCACCCCCAAGCCGCCTCTCGCTGCGGCGGCAGCCGAGCCGGCCGCTGCCGTGTCCGTGAGCACGCGAGGCACGAGAGCGGCATCCCACACTCCGCCGCCGCAGCCGCAGCCGCAGCCATCGCGCGCGTCGTCGAGGCGTGCCGCTGCCGCCGCCGCCGCCGCCGCCACCACCACCTCCGCCGCCGGAAGCAGCGCCGCCGACGCAGCGGGCGGCAAGGCAGCGCCGGCGCGGGCGGCGGCCGCACCGCCCGCGGGCAAGAGGCGGCGGAGAGGGGACCCGCAGACGGCGCCACAGCTCGCTCTCACACTGCTCGTCCGGCGGGGGGGCGTGGCTCTGCGGGCAGCAGACGGGCACTTGGCAGCAGGCTCGGGCGCGAGGACCGCCATCTTCAGAGCGTGCCTTGCGTGTGAACAGGTACCGTGTGCCGAGGCGGCCGCTCTCGCCGGCGTCGTCCCGCTCACTGCTCCCGCGCCGCCGCCGACCGCCGCCGAAAAGTGCGAGAGACGCCATATGTACGAGCCACTGCGCCGCCCCTCACGGCATCCTGACGCGGCTCTGCGCCGTGAATGTCAACAGGTACGGCGTCTGCCGCTTCTCCGGCCTGATCGCGCGGTGTGCCCCCGCCCCCTGCCCCGCCCCCCGATTACGTCGCAAGTCCAAGCACACGCACGCTTGTGCTAGGTACCGCGACCCAGCCACCGGCGAGCGGTTCGGCTCGGTGGACGCCCTTCGACAGCTGAGGGCTGCTAAGGCCGCGGAGGCGGAGGCGGCCGCCAAGGCTGCCGCGGCCGCCTCCGCGCCAGCTGAGGTGGCGGCTTAGATTTGGTTTATTTCAGCGGGGGCTTTTATGGCATCAGAAACGCGCACGCTTCTCAAGCAGGCGCCGAGCCCGCAGTGCCTCACGGCTTTTTGTCTTGTCCTACGGCTTTACCGATTTAGTCCGTAGACCGAAAAAATAAGAGAGTGTCACTCCAATGCTGGATGGATCAGTGACAGTGTGCGTGTGTGTGTACGTATTACGTATATGTGCTCACTGCTCAATGTGCATGCTACGAGACCAGGCGAGGCTCCGCCAGAATGTCCGGCGGACGGCGCGTCGGCCGGACCCGACGACGTCGGCGTGCGTCGCGGCGTGCGGCGACGCTGACGTCGAGGAGGGTGGTCTGCGAGTGCGCCGACGGCCGTAACCGACATTGGCGGCGGCTCGCGGTGCCCGCCATAGTGGTAGCAGCTGTCTCAGAGCGACAAAGTCAAAGAGCAGAGCGCTACTAAGCTCACCGCGTCGAAGCGGATAGTATCGAATTTATTTCAAAATCTGCAGGCGCGGAAAATTTTGAAGAAATTGTGCACGTGCGTGGCCTCTAGATTTTCATCAAGATCTTTCAAATTTGCGGTGTGGAGTTTTGGGGGGTCAGGGGTGGGTTAGGGTTAGGGTTATTAGGGTCTAGCAGGGTTAGGGTTAGGGTTATGAGGTTAGGGTGTTAGGGTTGGGCTCATAGTCTTGTTGTGTCTGTATATGCCAGCGTTGCAGGGTTCTGTCGCTGGGTGCTGGCCCCAAGACTCAGCCCCGCACGCTGACCACCGGACCACAATGCCGCCTCAAGGGCAGTCCAGCCACCTCTTACACGCGGCCGGCGCCCTCTCGCGGCAAAAGGGTCGAGCGAGCGGGCAGAGTCGCGCGGTGTCTGCGCACCCGCGTGCCGATGGGCGGCACACGCAACCGAGAGAGGCCCTGTCACGCCGCCAGTAGCGTTCCGCACTCCCCACGCCACCAAATGCCGCCTCAGGGCGCCGGGCTCGGCGGACCGGGCAGCGCGCGATGAGAGCATTGCGCCGGCCAAGGCATCGTCGCGGGCCCGTCGCGCGCTCAACCTGGCCAAGAAGAAGGAGGACAACTAGGCACCAGACAACTAGGCGCCTGAGACGGGTCTTCGAGCAGGAACGCAGGCCGTTCATGCTCGCCATCAAAGAGCTGCGTCCTCCGGCGGCCGCCTGCGCTAGAAGTGATCGGCGCCAGAGCCGGGAGGTGCGCGCGGTCGGTCGCGGGAGAGCGCAATGCGATGGCCTGAGCGAGGACGGCTGTGCGCCCGCGCATAAGCCGTGTCTGGGGAGGTGAACCTGAACGCGTCCAGTTGAGTGGTGGGATGTCGCGTGTGGAGGTGTTCGCCGCCTATATGCTCTATCCTGCGGCAAGACGGACGCGTTTTGACAATCAAAATCTACCTCAAAATTTGCGGCCGCCCCTCGAAATTTGCTGATCAAAATTTGCGGTGGCCCGGATCGAAACCTGTGCTTTGGCGCGTTGTGGCCCACACTGTCGCTTATACGCCTACCATAAACCCACGATAAGACTGCGCGACGCTGCGGATCAGCCCCAGTGCCCCTCCCAACCGTACAAAGGCTGCGGTGATTGATAGTATACACAAGCAACCCAAACACGTCGAAAGAAGTACACAGGTCGACGCTCGACACACCCACCATGGCTCGGATGTTGCTGGTGACGGAGCAGTGTCGTGACGGGGTGGTCACGGCAGGGGCCACCGCTCGCGCACACGTCGAAGGCGCGACCTGAGAGGAAGGGAACATTAAGTTCTTATGCCGTACCATCTGCCCTGGGTCGCTCGGCCACTCTCGTTGAAGCTTGGGCTCGACCCTTCCGCCGCTGCCGAGCCTACTCACACAGCGCGAGAACGACGCTGTTAGGTGGGTGGGTGCGTGATGCGCGTCGATCCGACGGCCGGTACGGGTGGCGAGGTGATGAGTGACGCCGGTACGATCATCGGGGTCCACTTTCCCGGTCGCAGGCTGCGATTGTTCACGTTTTGCGATGACCAGCGAAGCGAGTGCCTCGCTGGTCGTCGCAAAACGCCGGCCTGGGCGCGGTTCTTCGCTGCGCTCAGGTCCCGCTCGCATTCAGCAGTGTAAGACGGCTCTCTGCCTAGACGGAGGGCGCGTGTGGGATGCAGAAGTGTCGCAGGTACAGCTCCACATCGGTTTGTACGCCAAGAGCTCTTATCGTGGGTTTCTGGTAGCCCCGTACGACAGTGTGAAAGACTAGAGCCGTAACGACCCGGCGCTAAAACCCGGCGCTAAAACCCGAAGGGGGCATACGTTAGGACGGGTTAGTGCCGGGTTAGCGTCGGGTTATGGTAACCCGTTCTAACCCGTGCTGACCCGTGCTGGGTTAGTGTGGCTTAACCCGGTGGAACCCACGCGGCTAACCCGCGCTTACTGACTGACTCGCACCTACAAAATCGCTGTCAACCCAGCCACGTATCTTACCCCTCTCTCCGCGAACGCTGCGTGACTAGTGTCTCGCTTCTCCTGCAGGAGGCCCCGACGTACGGCTCTCTCTGAACTGTTGAGTAAGCAGACGAGACAGCACCGCGACTCTTTGGTCTCTCGAGAGGCGAACTCAACGGCAGCACCGCGTCACACTCCCCGCAAGCCCAGCCGCTCGCACGCCGCACGGTACTCGGCGAGCGCCGCCGCCTCCTCAGGCGACGCCTCCTCCTCCTCCCCGCCTGGCCCTGGGCGTGGCTCGGCCAAACGGACGCAGAAGACGAGCGTAGCTGCCGCCGCGCCGCCGCACGCGGGCTCGGGCGGCTTCTTCTCGTCTGGGTCGCAATCCCGCCCGCTCTCTCCCTCGCTCGCTCGACCGCTCTCCGAGTCGCCCTCTCGCCCGCTCCCTCGCCCGCTCCCTTGGAGCTGCGCCGATATCTCCTCGCACTCAAAGTCTGCCGCGAGCGCCTGTTCGTGGTGCAACCGGCTGAGGGGAGGAGCGAGCGGCGGAGTTCGCACCAGCCTGGCCGCCTCGCGCCTCGAGTAGCCAGCGCTCGTCGCCGCCGCGCCGGGTGTGCGAGAGCAGCACCGTCGCGCCGGGCGAGGCGGCGCACAGCTGGCCTGGCGGTGGCGGTTGGTGCAGCGTCAGGGTGTGAATACAGAGTCGTGTCGTGGCTTGAGTGAAAGGGGAAATAGCAGGGGCCGCTCTGCATCTAGGACAGCTGGCGGAGCGTCGTGGTGAGCTGCGGCAGGCTCTGCACGAAGGCGGTGATGTCGGCGCCGAGGATGATATCGAGGGAGGACGGCTCGAGCAGAAAAGGCGGCAGCGGGCAGCCCCACTCCAGCTCCACGGCGGAGCAGCAGTCGGCGACGCCGTTCGCCGCGGCGTTCCGACGGAGCAGCGGCAGAAGCGGCGCAAGGTCGGTCAGCTGCACGCTCGAGGCGCCGCACCGCGCCGCGAGGATGCCGCACGCCCCTGCAGAGGGAGCGGCGGCGCGGGAGGCGGAGGGCGGCGGCGTGGGAGGAGGGGGCGGAGGCGGCGTCGGGTCGGCGGAGACGGCAGTGGCGCACCGCAGCCGGCGCCGAGCTCCAGCACGCGCTTGCCTCGCCAGTGGCCAACCCCGGTGGGGAAGGCGGCGCATGGGCGCTGCATCAGCTCGCATAGGACCACCGCAGCGACCCAGACCGACGACTGCATGCTCTCCTCGGCGCACGTCTCGCCGCTACTCTGTTCGAGCGTGAGTGTGACGCCCGATGGCTGTAGCTCGAGCAGGGCGGGGATGAGGTGCCGCTCGCTGTAGCTGGCGGCGGAGTCGCTGCTGAAGGAAGTGCGCATCATATCTAAAGATATATTGCTCCCCCGTTGTCCGCCGTTTACCCGTGACCAGCGGAATTCGCGGACCCGAGGAGTCTCGCTCGAGCTTGAGCTGGCGAACCATCATGCCGCTCTCGGCACAGCAGAAACGCGAGCGCCGCACCGCGAAGCGCGCTGCCGAGGCTCAGGACGCGGCTCGCGGGCAGCGCAACCGCCCGGCGCCGAGCCGGTGCTAGGCCGCCTCCGCTGCGCCTGCTTCCTTGCGCGCCGCTGGACGTCGGCCGAGAAGACCGCTTCCCTCTGGGGACCCGACTCCGCGAAGATCGCGCGCGCGTCGTGAGTGGCGGCGCGCGCGCGATCTCCGTTCCCGGGCACGCCGGTCGCAGTCATGGGCTCCCAGGCTCAAAAGCGCTCCCGTCAACAGCGAGCGAGCGCCGCCGCTGCTCCTCCTCCCGCCGCCGCTCACCGAGACTCGGTGCCGCCGTTGTCTCCGCCGCCGCCGCCGCCGCCGCCGCCGCCGCCGCCTCGCGCCTCGCCTCCGTCACCGCCGCCCTCCATCTCGCAGCGGCGCGTCCCTCTGATGGCGCGGGCGCCTCGCTCACCGGCGCCTCGCCGCCGCCCCCCCCCCTTCTCGCGCCGCTCCGCTCGTGGCCGCCGCCTCCCCTGTCAATCCCGCCGCCTCCCCTGTCATCCCGCCGCCCGCACCACCGCCGCCACCGCCTCGCGCCTCGCCGCCGCCGCCACCGACCGCCCTCTCCCACCTACGGCGCCGCTCTGAGCGCGGTGCAGGGGGCGAGCCCCCGCGGCGCAGCCTCACCGCAGCGCACTGCGCTCTCCGCGCCCCTGACGATTAGTGAGGAGGTGGTGTTGCACAGCATGGAGCTCGGCGAGCGTTTAGCGAGCCCCTCACCTAGTGCATACATACATGTGTTGTGATCTAGGTCCGCGGCGAGAAGAACCGAGTCCTCGCCGGGCCGGGGGGCGGGTTGGGCTCAACAAGGTTTGCCTCTCGCACCCCGTCTGTTTTCCTTTCCTTTTTTCTCTGCAACACCCTCTCTTTTCCTCTCTATGTTCCGGGGACAACTCCGTGGAAATCGTCAAATTTTGGGCCCCCGCTGAGTGAGCCGAGTCTGAGGCTGGTTTGGGCCCAAAATCAGCCAAAATTTAGGCCAAATCGGCAAAATGCCGGGAATTTCGCGGAGAACCCGTGTATACCTGGAACT